TTGCAAGGCTGATGAATTGACCGAAAAAGTCACTTCAAACAGCTGTGTGGTGGATACCAGGCTAAAAATAGTGGCGCGCACGCACACACACACACACACACACACACACACACACACACACACGCGTACACATGCACACGCACACACACACACACACACATGTGCTCGTGGAGCCAGAAAAACAAAGCAACGACGGAGTGCGTGAGTTGAGGTGGAGCCGAAGCTGGCTCATAGCACTGGTCGAGATCCCCTGCTCATGTGCTGATATCTGAATTATTTGTGGGTGCTTGAACTTCAGCTCCCCACGCAAACTAGTTTCAAAGCACATGGCAGATACGGCGAGGCGTTTCATTTTCTGCAGTGCACGGATGCTACTGCACAACGTAGTGAAAGCAGCACATCGTGCAGCTGGCCTAGTATAGAGAAGAGATCACACGGGCATACTCCGTCTTTGTTATGGACTCTACATTGTTGTAGGTTCAGGCTATAAACGACGGTGACAAAACAGGCAGCAGTGTTGTTGTTGTTTGTTTATTTAGAGTCGAAGAACAAACAGGCAAATTTGCCTAATTACATGATATCGACTAGTTTGTACAATATAGTTCAGAATTTCTTACGGGCCATTCACATAATGGCATACCGACACCTTGCCTTGCACCGTTGCTGTGTCTGCTTCTTTTCTTTGTTTTCTTTCTTTGTCCTTATACTGTTTCCCGAATAATGAAATTTATCCGAGTAGGAGATCCCCTTGACAGGCCTAGAGCCTCTGGGTAATCCTTGAAATACAAATACAAATACAATACAATACAATACAATACGCCCAAACTGTGACATGGCATACGTGACGTTTTCGTCCGGATGGCCATGACAACATGGAACGTGGCGGGGAAAAAGAACGACTGATACAAAAATGTAGACGACGTATCCAAACCCCTGTACTGTACCAAGATTCGTTCTGTCGTTCCCGGCAGTTTGCATGGTTCGTGTCCAAAAGAAGCTGTACGCACAGCTGTACGAAAAGCGTGTATGTGCTTGTGCGAATGCAGCTGCATGAAAACGACGTCCGCCTAGCGCCTGTACTTTGAATTCCAAAAACGTGATGCGTATTGTAACGTAGTATGAATAGCCTTCGTGACATTGTACAGTACGTGTGGGGGTGAAAAAGATAAAGAGGTTTTATAGGAAATGCCAGCTTTCCTTGTCGTCTTGCGACACATTTTCACGAAAGCACAAAGGGAGCAGGCTGTGCAGAAGTCACTGTCAAAATTTGTACCCGTCTACTTCACGATGTGCTAAAATTATCGATCCAGATGAACACGAATATCTGCTTTTCTAATAATAGTACAAGGTCAAGAAACAGCATTGCAGCTTCGTACCGTGGCAGGCTTGTCCAATGACCAGCCTCATTCGCATTAGTAGCATTACCTCTGTAGTTATCGCTGCGATGTCCATCTTGGACGTCCACAGTCGTGCAACAAACACACGCCCCACAAATTCTTGCCCCGGAATCGAGGCAGGAACAAGACTGAATGGGGACAGGTACATCGTAGCAAAACGTACCAGCTCGAAATGATACGCAGTGACAGCGCCATGGGCGAAAGACAAACACACAGAGTAAAGGATCAGCTCTTCCTGTACCTGGCTGCGGGGCTTTCCTGTGAGCCAAGCACTACCACATCTTGAATCTCTTCCATTCCTGGCGGGAGTAAAAAATCGAGAACCGACGGAGGAACCTGCATGCAAGAAAACGTCACACATAACACATGTGGACTCGTGCACTAAAATGCAGCCGAGCAGCCAAAAGTGACGTGAATGGTCCTATGGTGTAATGGTTAGCACTCTGGACTTTGAATCCAGCGATCCGAGTTCAAATCTCGGTAGGACCTTTTTTTCCATTTTTTTTAATTTTTCCAACAAGTACAATGTAACCCCAGGCTGGGGTTATGATTGTGTACTCTATCATTCTAGTCTTGGTACAATGCTCAACGGACCTTTTTTCTCACCGTGAAGTACAATAGTAAATGGAGCATTTTTCCATTTTTTCTTATTTTCCAAAAAGTACAATACAGTGCTGTCGGGCGCCGAAGAACGGAGCACCAAAGAACGGCTGAGCTAGAATTTCATCAAGCACAGCATCCCAATGTATACACGGTGCCTAAAACTGCGCTTTGACTGCAATACATGGATAAGGACGGTCTAGGCTAGGAGACTAACAGCCCAGTTCCTCAGCGACCGACAGTATTGTAGTCAATAGAGTTTATGCGCGTTCATGGGGGAGAGTCAGTGGAATCACATATGGGCAATAAGTAGTGACTTTACTCCCTCGCACCCAGACGCTGATTTTTTGGAAACAAGTTTCTATACTTCCGATGGGAGAATCCGACATGGCAGTGCATTTCGGCGTGGCCAGGTCAAATTGTAGAATATCGCATCGAGTGAATTGCTTTATCTGAGAGAGGAGATGTTCGTGCCCTTGAGACTCGAAGTCCCGTTTCCATACGACAAAATTTAGGAGCTCTGCGCTCAGCGCCTTTTCAGGGTATGAATTTCGGGTTGTTCTGGTCGGGTCGCAGCGTCGCGGACTATTCCATCGTCTTCAGCGTCGAAAAACTACTGGCCATGTGAAATTACAAGGCGGTGAGACGCTTTCGTCTTCCTCTACGAGCGAATTTGTTCTGCGCCAGCATACCAAAGTATGCAATTTCGTACGCGCAGTTCGAGTGACGAGTCGTGTGCACTGTACACTGTACTGCATGCACTGACCGTGCGGTCGTTCTCGATTCTCCCATCACTCCCATTCATTTCTGTTTCCAGCGAAAGTCCAACTTGGCGCACTTCAAATCACTATAACTCGAGAATGGCTGGGCCGATTTGAATAATACTTGCAGATGTCCTATGTGCTACGCCTGGGAGAATCGAATGAGACCAAAATCGAAGCGATCGGAGCAAGTTTTGGAAATTGGGTGTAGTCACTACAATAAGTATACAGTAGAACCACTTATGGGCACTATCACGGCAACGTGAGTCACTTTATTTCAACTCCGCCGTGGCTTCGAAGACCACGTCTTGAACATCGACAGTGCGGGTCACGAAACCCTGTGATGTGACTCTTGGAATACAGCCGTGGCCAGCGAAATCACGTGCAACATGGAAGGCCATGCACTGTGACCTCGCATCCAGAGACAATACATGGAAAATGTCAGCGTCAATCAGCCAAGTCTTGCCGCTGTTGTGTGGTCCGCCTATCTGCCAGTGCAGTTTACGAATCCCTTGGCTGGACCGGTACTGGTGTGTTGTCGTAGGGATATGGTCAAGGCTTTTGCCGACCCAGAGGCAATGTCAGAATCAGTTTGTGCTACCGGGACTAGCCTACTACATGACACATTACCAGCAGGGGCGTCGCACACGGTACGGTCACTACGGTATTGACCGTACCACTATTTGCCCCAAGTACCCCGTGAATCAAGAAAAATGCACTGATATGGGCTCTAAATTTCCAAATTTTTCGGCTCAGCCACCCCCCCCCCACCCCACAAGTAAATTGTACTTCAGATGGCTGACCGTACCACACTAAATTACCTTCCGACGCCCCTGACCAGTTTTTTTACATAGCAATACAGTGAACCCTGTCTAAGGTGACCGCTCAAGGGACCTGTAAAACGTGGTCTCTGTTACCAGGTGGTCTCCTTAGCCAGGGTCATTTGACTGGAAATAGCATCCATTGGCCCTGGTTTCAGTGGTCTTCTAGCACAGGTGGTCGCCTTATCCGAGTGGTCGCCTTGACAGATTTCTCTGTACATGTACTCGTATCCTCACCTTATCTCCCTTCATGTTCCATGTGCTGACAAATAAGCCGAGCTTGTGGTCGGGCAGGTAGATGTCGAGATCGGAGAGCTCAGCTGCCGCCGCCGTCACGCCAGTAGTCGATGACATCTGTGTAGAGAACGTCATGACCGTGTCCACTTCATTCCTGCCGCCGATGCTGGAGCTGGACGCCGCCTCACGGGCTCGCTGGCTGAGGTTCATTCGGTGCGCTGCCTCCCGTAGGTCGGACACGCGCACCGGTCGGAGTAACCGCACAGCGCTTGCGGCCGGTAACCAAGGAGTGACTCGACTGCCGCGCCTTTCCGCCGACTTGGACTCGGCAGCGCTGGGTTGAAATGCGTCGTCCGACAGCCGACTGTGACTCCTCTCCTGCTGGGATGCAGCCGCGTCTGTGGGATGGGGCATGCCACCTCCCTCACTTCTCGTCCGGGTCACCTGTAAGCGCAGCGTGGCCACCGGCGTTCTGCTGGAGCTGCCCGGATCGGAGAGGTTTCCCTCGTCCGCCACGCCTGCACCTTCCGACGTGACGGGCCGCTTCTGCCTGGACTGCGGTGAGGACGAGGCGGCACGTGACGACGTCAGCTGGGGTATGCGTGCCAGAGTGGCAGAGCGCGGACTCAGTATCGACTGTCCCACGTGTGATAAAGGCTCCGCGCCCGGCTTTCCACTCGTGAAGCTGGCCGGGTGACTCTCAGTTGTTGATGGTATCGGTGGCAGTGGGCTCCGGGTGGTCGACCTCCGCAGATCGCTTGAAGGCTGCGAAATATCGGGCAAGCCTAGTGCTGGAGACGACATGCCCGAACCCTTCCTTCGACTTCCGTCGGCATCCAGGGGCATGAGCTTCTTTCCAGCAGGAAGCCGTATCCCCTGTCGTGGAGTCTGGGCACCAGTGTCGGGAATGGCACCGGGTATGTCCGGGCACGAGGTGAACACGGTAGCCGAGCCCGACCGGGCGGGTGACAAGTCCCGAACTATCGGTAGCGCGCGGGAACGCTCGCCGCTTTTCGCCCTGGGCACTCTTCCGGAGCGTATGCTTGCTCCCAGCATTGCTTGCTGTTGTCTAGCCGGGTTGAAGCTCTGACTTCTGACTGAAGTGGTACTAGGCTGCGCTCCAGCAGCGCCAGCCCTCTCAGGCTGAGCACGATAATTGTACATGAGCTGTCTGGCCTCGTAATCCGCCAGGTCGAGGTCGGCCAGAGACTTCGAAGTTGGCTCTCGTTCGATGCGCCTTGGCTCCGCTGCCTGCCCGGAGGGCTGCAGGGGGCTAGGGGGCTTGGGTTTGTCCTTCTTGTCATCACCACCACTACCACTGGCATTCATGGTTGCTGATTGGTTCAAACCGGCTGTTCACCGCTAGTGCCCGACGCCTCCCTTGCTTAGCGGTCTCCTAGCCCTCTGCCTAGGGCATGCTGAGGCCCTCGAACATGTGCGTGTATTTCCATCAACGACAACGATCCATCGACGGTCGACTGCTGTTGCAACAATTATTTCGTTTTCGCGTTCATGTCCTCTATGATCTGCTTGACAAATAAATGAAATTTTTCTGACTTCAAAGAACCAAGACCACAATCATAACAAGCGTAGATCTACGCGTCGGGACTCAGCCTGACTGTCGACTGTCGAATGCCCGGCATCTCTTGCTGCGACGAATGAGTGATGGCAAATGCATGAATACAAGATGGTAGATGTGCAGGATACGACCGGTATACGCGGTAGGCCAGTCCCTACACTGTCTGTACTGACTGACTGAGTCTGTACTAGTGAGCCTGGCTATGCCGCACGAGACATCATCGTTCCGTAACACCAATACATGTCATGTATACAACAGACTCAGTAACAGTTACCATGGTTACTGTTGTAGTCTTCATTGCCGGGCATACCGGACTCGATTGAAAGCGTCCGCAAACGCCCAGGCCAGGGGACCCGTTGACATGACACCAGGGAACCGTGGCTTTCACCGGCCAGCACTCAGCAGCCACTGCGGAGTGCGGGTTTGTACTTCGGAGTTTTTGGAGATGTACATGTCATTGCATTGCATTTTGCAGTTTACTGACTGTCAGACAGTGGTGGTCAAGGGTGGAAGAGGGATATCATGCCACTGCCTGAACTACACATGTGTGCACTGTGCATGCATGACCTTGACAACAGGTGCAACAATACGGTAGATCTACCCTATGCACTAGCCAATGGTGTCGCCCCCCGCCCCCTCCCCATATTCGGAATTTCCGGGATCAAAACAGCTGGGTGATTATACATGTAGCTGCAAAATATCTACCCAAGGACCACAGGACTGTGACCAGCTAGGGACTCGGGAAGCAGCTTTTCACGACTCCATGGATAAGACCCAGGAGTTGCCGTTGTAGGAGATCCAAGTGCTTGCCTAGCTATGAAATAGATCATCTTCCAAGTCTTGATGCTGGCTTACAGACTTCCAAAACCATCGCATGCATGCCTCCCGTTGCTTAAGGGGTCGTCCACAATTATCGAACTTTTTTCACGAAACGAAATAATTTCGTTATGGGGTGGGAGGGGGTTGACCAATTTCGTTTCAGAAAACATTGATACATGTGCATGCCCATAGGAGCAGTTACATACTTGCAACTTTTGTTGTATTATGCATGCATATGTCAAACTTTTTTTACGTTCTGAGGGGGAGGGAGGGAGGGGTTGGGTCTAAACTAAAATAATTCGTTTGGTGAAAAACGTTCGATATTTGCGGACGGCCCCTAAGCGCAGAAACATTCTATGGCAAAACCAGACTGGTCCAGTAGGCCAATGAGGCTAGTGAGGCTCGGGCAGGAGACCCAACAGACCACGTCGGGTTGATCGGTCAAGTCGCCCTATCATTCAGGTACATGTAGTACAAAAGGTCGAACCACACACACAGACACAAACAAGTTCCGCTAAATTCTTTTAACCCTTTAACCCTTTCAGCCCTGACCGGAAAATCACCTCCCACTGGGCCAAAAAAGGCATTTTTTGAAAATGCATATTCTGGTCCAAAATTGATTGGAGATGTTAGGTATGGACATATGCACTGTGAATCCAAAGAAATTTTGTAGGATTTCATTGTACGAGACTCATAACACCATATTTAGATATGCGACTTTTGGCGATTTTTCCTCAAAATTCATTCAATTTAGGCAATTGACAACAAAGATCAGACAAGCAACGGCAAGCAGTGCTATAACTGGTCAGTGTTGACTTCAGAATGGAGAAATGTCATATAACAAGCTTGATATGATCCTGGTGTTCTACGGCAACCTAGACTAGAGTACAGCAACTCGTTTTATACGGCGCTTGAATCATATGCGACTGCGCGATCCAGAATGGGTCTTTCTTTTTTCTTGGGCGCCTCGTAAAGCTTGAATCCTCCAGCAGCCCTACCTACTTCAAGACAAAACCATGTGATGGACAGTGAGGATGCCGAGTAACTGGAGTAGCAACCACAGCAACTGCATCGGCTATAATAGCAGCCAGTGCAGTGGCAGCGGTTGGCTCACTGTGCTCGGCGCATCCCGGGTTGAATCATCACTGGCCGCACGCGTACGAACGTACGCGGCACAGGTAAAGTCATATTCATAGAGAATGCAATACAGCTCATTCTCTGATTTGGACACTCACTGGCAAGACAATCCAGCTACCAAAATAGTCTGAAGCATTCCCTAAACAGCCGAGTGCATACTGCGTACCGGTGTACGTACGCATGAAAATTCAAGAAACAATCGGCTGTGCAATTTCTGATAGTGGTTCAAAATTGCACAATTGTTGACTATTCGGGATTATTCTGGATTCATATTAGATAGCAATCACCATCCTGTAGGTGCCTGGCTCTGTACTCAACATACAATACTTACATGTATATGTATGCACATCTCTATTGTGATCTGCATGCATGTCTGACCAGTACACTTGATTTCAAATTCAAATATTTTCAAAAATCTGACCTTCAAATTGGATCGCAGTTTTCTTGAGGAACTTCAGCAAACGGGCTCACGACAGATAGCTCCTGCTCAGAACACCATGCCTAGGTGTCAGAGACTTCAGCATCGCTTTCCAAATCTCTTTGGTCTCCAGCATCCCCTGCGTCTGAGCCAGCTGCGATCTTTTGAATAGCAGCAAATTCGTAATCCTCAGAAAACGACTCCGACACAATTTCGCTGTCTCCAGAATCATCCTCAGAGTCATTACCCGCCTCACACTGCTTCACAGGACTCCTTCCATCGACACAGAGTAGTTGAGCTACTTACCTTGCCGAGAAACAGCAGGGCAAGATGACGAAAACGAACTTGGAGCAAAACAATTTATTTGAACGATATGCCAAAATACGCACTTCAAACTCGATGCTCGCGGCGGTTCTGCTGTGCAGACTGGCCACATACGCTGCGTACACGTCGATCAGGTCCTTCAGCCCACTGAGGAACAGTTCCAGGCCCCACTGATGTTGAGGCATCAGTACAAACGCGACGTACACCGCGGACGTATATATACGTCGTCAGTGGGGCAGGTGCACACGTCATGACGTATTATGCATTTTTTCGTGTTCCTTGGACCATAGCTTCAGTTCTACTCACTCAATCCTCACAATCTAGGGCTTCCTGGAAAGGTCTCCGCGAGAGGAAGAGAATGAAGTTGATCATGATAGCCAGCACACCGTCTATCCAGCGCTAGATCGCAGCGACAGTACGAAAAATGCCCCAAATGCGTCCAAATGCGTCCCGCTCCAGATATTTCATTTTACTCGATCGTGGAGTTCCAATTTTTTCGCTGTGTCTTCTTGACAATATCAACAGTGAAACCCGTGCAAATTCGAGTAAACCAGCTTGACGAAAGTCTCAAAATTCTCAATACTAAAGTCGCACTGCGCGCTTTTGAAATAATTAATTGCCGCGATCGCAGCTCAACTTACGAGTGATTTATCTCAGGAACCGTTGCTCGCAGCGCTTCGCGGATTGTTTCTCCCGACAGGTGAGAGTTTTCTCTTTGCCCTGGATATTTCGATCACTGAATTTGAGCAAGATTGGACTGAGTTACGATCTTTTGAAGTTTTGCATTTGAGTGCGTCGTTTACGACGCATTCAAGTATGGGGCGGCTCTTAAAGGGGAAGTTAAAGGGGAAGTATACCCTAAAATCAAATTTTCACCAGTTGTAGTCTTCTGGGTGCTGAGTCGAATGGTCTTGGTCCGAGGAAGCTGCGACGCTCCCTTCCCAATCGAACTCGCGCACTTCCACCGAAACTGGGTGACTGCGCCCTACTAGATGGGGATTTGTATGCAAAATGTCACTAAAAGCGCCATTTCGTTCTTATAAAAGCACGGATGACCGCGATTGGCCCATATGTTGTAGTCTTTTGGACGCTGAGTCGACTGGTTTTGGTCCGAAAAGGCTGCGATGCAGCGTTCCTCCTTTATTCCCAATCGAACATGGTTGAACAAGCGGTCACGTGCTCCTGGGTGCCCAAATCACCTGGTCACCGCGCCAGCAGGTGACAACTTTCACACCAAGGTTCAACTCGAGTTCAACTCGAGTGACAGGACTGCACCCAAAAAAGGTCAAACAGGCTAGTAAGTTGTACCCTGCAGGCACGGTGACCAGGTGACTGGCGTACGCAGGAGCACGTGACCGCTTGTTCAACCATGTTCGATTGGGAATAAAGGAGGAACGCTGCATCACAGCCTTTTCGGACCAAAACCAGTCGACTCAGCGTCCAAAAGACTACAACATATGGGCCAATCGCGGTCATCCGTGCTTTTATAAGAACGAAATGGCGCTTTTAGTGACATTTTGCATACAAATCCCCATCTAGTAGGGCGCAGTCACCCAGTTTCGGTGGAAGTGCGCGAGTTCGATTGGGATTCAAGTAGGAAGGGAGCGTCGCAGCTTCCTCGGACCAAGACCATTCGACTCAGCACCCAGAAGACTACAACTGGTGAAAATTTGATTTTAGGGTATACTTCCCCTTTAAGGCAAAAATTAAAATTTCACCAGTTGTAGTCTTCGGGGTGCTGAGTCGAATGGTCTTGGTCCGAGGAAGCTGAGACGCTCCCTTCCTACTTGAATCCCAATCGAACTCGCGCACTTCCACCGAAACTGGGTGACTGCGCCCTACTAGATGGGGATTTGTATGCAAAATGTCACTAAAAGCGCCATTTCGTTCTTATAAAAGCACGGATGACCGCGATTGGCCCATATGTTGTAGTCTTTTGGACGCTGAGTCGACTGGTTTTGGTCCGAAAAGGCTGCGATACGGCGTTCCTCCTTTATTCCCAATCGAACATGGTTGAAGAAGCGGTCACGTGCTCCTGCGTACACCAGTCACCTGGTCACCGTGCCTGCAGGGTACAACTTACTAGCCTGTTTGACCTTTTTTGGGTGCAGTCCTGTCACTCGAGTTGAACCCGAGTTGAACCTTGGTGTGAAAGTTGTCACCTGCTGGCGTGGTGACCAGGTGATTTGGGCACCCAGGACCACGTGACCGCTTCTTCAACCATGTTCGATTGGGAATAAAGGCCGAACGCTGCATCGCAGCCTTTTCGGACCAAAACCAGTCGACTCAGCGTCCCAAAGACTACAACATATGGGCCAATCGCGGTCATCCGTGCTTTTATAAGAACGAAATGGCGCTTTTAGTGACATTTTGCATACAAATCCCCATCTAGTAGGGCGCAGTCACCCAGTTTCGGTGGAAGTGCGCGAGTTCGATTGGGATTCAAGTAGGAAGGGAGCGTCTCAGCTTCCTCGGACCAAGACCATTCGGCTCAGCACCCCGAAGACTACAACTGGTGAAATTTTAATTTTTGCCTTAACTTCCCCTTTAAAGGGTTAATAGGCTGAGTAAATAATAATCGTGACTCGTATTTTGAAGTCTACGTAGCCTGCGGTTGCCTGGTAAGACTAAGAGTCTCTGCATACTGTACACCAGGTCAGTGGTACCATGGTACAACAGTGGTACATTTCTGTTTCGGTATATTTCATATTTCAAGGCATACCCCGAGGCTATAGGTATTATTGAGTAAAGGACCATTCTGGAACATTCAGCATAATTGTATTTCTCTAGCTAGGCTGTTCATTACGAATCATTAGCCATCCACTGTCTGCTATCTCAACCCTACAGCCTCCCATTATAATGGAACTCCCTTCAATTTAGACTACGTCTTTGGGAAATCCTCAAATATATATAATAATAAATAACACCTTGATGCTCAGTGATGTGTGTTTGCCACTTCCACTGAGGAGCCCGGATCATTCCAAGACGGAGCTGCCAAAGCAGCCGAACACATCGGAATGCTAGCAACCAATGACTGGGATTGCCTCGGGCAGGCTAGCATAACCTGCACAAACAGTGGGCAGCACTAGACACCAAGACAACAATCTGATCATAAAGGAGCATAATGTGTGCCTAACATACAATCGCACTCTCGTAGATTGCAGAATGCAAGTAAAGAGTTTCTATTGTCAACGATCAATGATAAAGTACGCCCTGCGGGAAAGAAAATAGCTGTGTAAAAATCATCAAAATAACAGTGGATACATTCAGAATGGCCATGATCATGGCTACAACTGATGAGTCGATGCGGCAACAAAGGTGAGATAAAAAGCTAATATAAGAACTGAGTAAATGTAATGATGTTGTGCGGCAAGTGTTGCAGGCTAGATACTGGTGTGACTCCACTTAAACTAGCAAAACAAACAGTTCCCGGATGCTCTGCTCTATTGAAAGCTAGGGCCAGTAGGGGAGAGGCGAGCCAGACTATGCTGGGTGGCAGTATAAACAGGGTATCCTGAAAGCGAGTCACTGAAGACAAATAAAGGCGGGCGGGTGAAATCGGAGTAAAAAATAAATATTCCATACGTCATCTACTAGTATTGGCATCGATGTTCATGCACTGATGACAAGTTATAATATTATAACACTGCTGTTGACTTCAAAGCCAGCGGTTTCTAGTCGAATATTCTCCGTACCATGAAGAGTGAATCCTCTTGTTTGAAACCAAACTTTGCGTAGAAAGGAACGTTGTTCTCGACGCATTCCAGACTGATCTTATAGCACTCAAGCTTGATGGCAAGCAGGCTTAGGGTTTCAAGGAGCCTATGAACAAACGGACAACACACGATGGAAAGCAAAATTAATAGATAAGGCGTCCAGGTCAGAGTGTGCTGCTTTCGCGGCTTTGAATGAGCACGTTTCTCCGTGTGTTAGATGAGTCGTCACATGAGGCAACCAGCTAGATGTAAGCAGGAAGATGAAGGCTGAAAAGTAGTGGACCGCATGCTAATAAATAATTCAACACTTACAATTTTCCTAGCTGGCGCCCGCGACAGCTATCCGCCACGATCACATCCTCAATGCGGCCACGCTGGATGATCCAACATAGGCAAGAGAACAAAACAGCTACATCAGAGAAAATAATGTAATAGAAAGAGAGAGAGAGAGAGAGAGAGAGAGAGAGAGAGAGAGAGAGAGAGAGAGAGAGAGAGAGAGAGAGAGAGAGAGAGAGACAGAGAGGGACAGAGAGACAGAGAGACAGACAGAGAGTCGGAGAGAGGAGACACAGAAAGCGCCACACGTGATCAAGATTCGAGCATGGTTTCGTGCACCGAGGTTCAAACATACCATAGCGGCTAAATGAGTAAACTTCCGTTCCACGATCAGCGATGCTGAGGCGACCAATTCACCTCTGGTGGTGTCCTCAATGACAGTAATGTAATGGGTGTTGGGGGAGGCTTGGATCCCGCGGAACTGTTCTGCGAGGAGCACACGCATGCACAACATAGATGTTGATAAATACCATGAGTACACAATTTCCCATAGAAAGGTGTTTCCCCTCAAACGCCTTCCACTATTATTACATGTATTTATATTATGGATTTTGCCCGCGTCTTCCACACATGGTACTTTGGCCTGAGGTGTCCCCCGTTCATGGACTCTGGCCTAGATCACCTGGTTAAAAAGATGCAATTGAAATCTTTAGCACTTTAGCACTTTAAGTACGTCATTTTTCCTCAGCAGTGCCACATCAGGACGATATGGGCAGTATGTATGTTAACACGGTACGAGTACACTATGGAAACCGTACAGACATCAGTCACATGCCACAACTACTGTGATATTGCATATAAAGGCCGGGCTTATTCATGTAGACGCTGATGCCAGGGCTAGGCTTCTACTCAAATAAGGCTTACATTCAAACAATATGTTGTCTGATGAATTTAGGGCTGAAACGATCGTGGATTTTCAAGTATCGATTACTCTTTAGCTTAGGGGTCGTCGCAAAAGTTTTTTGTCGTCCCTGAAACGAACATGATTCATTTGGGGGGCAGGGGGTGTGAGCCAAAATCGCAAGTCGACCGACACTGTACATATGACATGTACATGCATGCGATTTTCGTCGTCCAGCATAGCAAGCTGTGTTCGTTTCAGAGGGAGGGGAGGGGGTCCAAGTACGAAATGAACGATGTTCGTTTCAGGGACGACAGAAAACTTTTGCGACGACCCCTTAACGATCGAGTACTCGATTATAATCGTTAGCAAATAGAGTCATAATTCTGTGCAAACATTACTGTTTCCACAAACTATGCCTTCATAATACCAACAAATCTGCATTAGTGAAAGGGTAGCTCCGAAACATGGCAGTTTTGAAGTCAATTTAACCTCAGAACATGAACCATACCCCTGGCAACTGCATACTCCCAGCGGAAACTGATTCAAACTTCACAAAACGAGGGTTTACAGTACTTTCTTGACACAAATTTATAAAACGCAAAATAATCGTAATCGGTAATCTAAACGATTGCTCGATCGTTAGAGTTATCAAACGAGTACTCGATTATTCGGTATAATCGTTTCAGCCCTACTGATGATTGGTTTTGCCATGAAACTCTGAGCAACAACAAAACAGCCCTATTTTACTTCCTTTTGTGTATCTCTTGCAATCAAATCAGGCCCTTTGCCACCCCTAAAAACAGGCTCATGTGCCTACAGTTCACCTTGAAGTTGACACTTGTATTCAAAGCAGGCAGTTCTATACAAGAGAGTAGGGTATGTACCTTCAAACTTGTCCTGGGTTAGATCACCCACCCTGGTAAGCTGTGCCAGCAATTGTGAATAGCCTACAGCAATCAGCAGAACACATCACAGTGCACATCACAGAACACATCACAGTGCACATCACAGAACACATCACAATACAAATCACAGTACAATACAAAGCAAGATTTATAAAGTCACATTAAAGGACGAAGCACAAGTGCAGAAAGGAGAGAGCGATCGCTTGCACCACTATTACTTCGAATAAAAAAACGGCAACATGATGTCGCAGGTCGCACAAATGCAGTGTGAGGCTGCCAGTCACGCATGTACCGTATTTCCGGAGTATAAGCCACCCCGTGTTTTTGTCCCGAAATACTGTATAGGCATCAACCATGTATTCGGTGTGTACTGTAAAACCGGAAAGTCGAACGAGTCACAAAGTCTAACGCTTTAACGACCATTTTTTTTCCTTATTTGAAGCAACGTTATCCTGAACCCGGTTTGAGATGTCTGTGTAAAGATGCGCATACATCGATGCACGTTCTTTCCATTGTACAAACATCGTTAAACTTTCTGCACGTTTATCATGCCAAAATTACAAAAAACGTTTAACTGTTTGGTCGTTAAACTTTCCGATTTTACAGTAAGCCGCACCCGCAATTTGAATCGATTGCCTACTTCCTCGGCAGCTACAATAACACTCTGCTTGAAGCAAGTATCATAGCTGCTACGTTTCGAAGGTGCCATAATTCAGCTCGGAATAATCAAATGAAGAAGGTAAACACCTTGAGCAAAAGAGAAAGACAAGTGACTCGCATCAAAATTCCCTTGCACGGATATCCGATGTGTGTCGTTCACGCGCATGCACACATACTTACACGTGGTGGCGCGCTGTTGCATTTTTCTAGCCAGTTATGCAGGCTACCGCACTTTACTTCATCCCGTTCATTTTACCACCGGAGTATAAGTCGCACCGGCTTTTTTGGGTGAGTTTTGAAAGTTCAAAGTGCGGCGTATACTCCGGAAAATACGGTAGATCAAAAATGGCACAAACCAGTCTTCCGATGACTGCACTATTGCATGAGCCTTCCGGGTAGAGAGTTAAAAAACTGATGTCTGCAGTTGAGGTTAGTTGTAAAGGATGAACTATAAGTATAGTCAAGTGGTGTGCTTCACTGTCCGAAGAGTGCTCAATACCCATGTAGGGCAGACAGGCGCGTACGCAGGGTCACCTCTAGGGGGGTTTCCAACCGAATCGCAAACAATGACCCTGTCTAAAGAGCCCTAGGAATTTTTCAAATTTATGCATTTTTTCGTGTTCTTTGGATCATAAAACCCGTTCTACTCACTCAATCTTCATTATCTTAGGGTGCGTTCTTATATTCTCTAGCTTCGAGAAGAAGAAGAAAAGAGAAGTCGATGAAACTGGGATTACTCAAGAACGGGTCTCGAAGAATTCGGAGATATTTTGCACATGTCAAGCAAAATGAAGCGCCAAAGGGGCCGCGATCTTGAGTGATGAATGTAGTAATGCACGTGTGCGTATGCGAAAAGGGAAATGCGTACACTAATGATGAACACGTGCCTTTTAGTCGTAGTTCGCATGCGCTGATCCCAAACCGCGGGAATCTCCAAGTTTCAACCACCTCTGAAGCTTGGAGAGCTTGGAGAGCTTTGGAGAGCATGCTAAAAGTCGGAGAGGATATAAGAACAGCTCTCGAACTTTTCGGAGAGTCTCCAACTTTTCCGAGAGGATTTAAGAACGCACCCTAAGGCTTCCTGGAAGTGGAAAGGTAGACCTACCAGGGAGAGAATGAGGTCCACCATGATAGCCAGGACACAGTACAGCCATGTACATATCCAGCGCTATGCTAGCGGTAGAGTGCAGCGACGGTGCGAAAAAATGCCCAAACTGGGCGAAAGGCCAAAAAACGCGTCCTGCTCCAGCGATTTCGTTTTTCTTGATCGCAGAGTTTCGAGTTTTTTGCTGTGTACTCTTTTGAAAATATCACAAGTGAAGCCCCTGCAAATAATTGAGCAAGTCAGCGGGACGAAAAGTCTCAAATTCTCGATACTCGAGTCGCACTGCGAGCTTTTGAAATTGCGAGATCGCGGCTCAACTTACGAACGATTTATCTCAAGAGATGTTGCTCGCAGCGCGTCGCAAATTGTTTCAACCGACGGCTGAGAGTTTTCTATTCGACCTGGATAACTGGATCGTTGGATTTGAGCGAGATTTGACTGAGTTACGAGATGTTGAAGTTTCGCATTCTTGCCAGATCGATCGTGCGCCCTACCAAAATATGCCCAAAAACGTTGCTCGTTCGGAACATTTGGGGGGTTTCCGGGCAACGGGACCCCCCCCCCCCCCCCCCCTGCGTACGCGCCTGGCAGAGGCTTGTACCCAAGAGAGAGATTGGAAGCTTTGTAATACGTGAAACTCAGAGTTGTAACAAAGCTTCCAATCTCTCTCTTGTGAACTATAAGTGTACAATTCCTACGTCCGATATTAAGCTGACCTGCATACCGGTAGTACTATGACCATTTCCGCTCATTATAGGTCGCACCCTTTTTCCAAAGAGACAGAACAGAAGTTCATTGAGCCGTGGGACGAGCTATTGTTCACTGAGGACAAGCAGATGCTGTCGAGAAGCGCGAAGGTGTCCATTGTCACTTCGAAGCTGAACGGTTACATGCAGACAGAGTTCGGTCTCTGCGTACAGTATTCAGAGAAGGAAGTGAACAAGAAGGTGGATTCGACACGGAAGAAGGGCCGGGAGTTGTACATGAAATTTTACAAGTGCAGTACGGGCAGTGCTGTTAACGAAACAGACGGCGATTGGTAGGCAGCATACTCTGCATGGGCCAATTTCAAAACATACCACAGGGTACTTTTCACGCACCCCAATCTGGGCCCTGGTTGCGTAGTGGTAGCAGCGTGGAAAGCTGCTCAGTTCGAACTATGCAGTCTGTGCGTGCCCGAGCACCAACACTATCAGCTTCTTCTGCCCCACCTGTTGATACTGCTTCCAGTACCGCTGTACATGCACCAGCCATGCCACTCATGCCTTCGGCAGCCGTTGCTGACCCGAGCCACTCGACTAGCACGACACCGCCACAATCCTCTATGTGTTCATAGTCATTCGCAAGTGTGCATTGCAGCTCAGCGGCCTCAGCCACCCGTAAGGCAGCAGATCCGTGCGCAGTCCGGCAATGCAGCTCGAGGACGGCAGAACAGACCCGTTTTGTCCCCCGTCGTTGCGGCCATCACCTGGTACACGGGAATCGTCTCCGCTAATTGGCTTGGACGATGATGAAGGTGATGAGGTGTGGACATCACCATCAGCCTCGGCTACTGCACCAGGTGCACGCAAAAAGGGCAGACGCTCCACCGACACACAGAAGACCATCCTCAAAGAGACTGCCAAAATGCATAGCAGGAGTCCTTGATGGAAAGGCAAATGGAACATGATTGGAGAATGATGCTGGAAATGCAGAAGTGGCAAGAAAAACGAGACCAGAAGAAGGCCAAGCTGCAGCAGGGTTGCAAGAAAAAGACAGAGCGTTCCAGGCCAAGCTGCAACAGAACCAAGCTGCGCACGCACAGAAGCTGCAGCAGGACAGCATGGCTTTCATGGCAGCACTCATGGATAAGTATGGCATGTCTTGATTCCTCTCCTTACATTACACGTGTGTACGGTGCTATGGACTGTTGAGGTCCCAATGCGATACTCTATTCTCTTTTGCCAACTGTTGGAGTTCTTCAGCATGAGCCCACAGTTGAAGAAACATCGTCAGGAATTTTTCCCCAGGGATAGTCGTGTGCAAGGGTGTCGTCTGACACTCAAAGGCATCTCTTACCAAATCCTACACGGCTATAACACAGAAATCAGACCGGCCGTTCGCAACTCCGAGTTTCACGCCGAGCGATCATCAGGAACATCTACATGTACTACCGTAAAAGTCCGTAAAATAAGTACCTGCCCGAAATAAATACCCCCTTCGTTCTTTCGACTCTGTCTGTTGAAAGTCAAGTCAAGCCCGATAAACATACTGCCCGAAATAAGTACCGGTACGGTGCGCACATGCAGCGCGTAGCATGTACATCTACATGAACATGACGTCTCTACTACACACACACACATCAGGTCTGAAAGTTAGTTCGTGCCCGGAAGTTAGTACAGGTGTATCTACTAAATTCGAAAGTCAGAGCATACTTATTTACGGACTATTGCGGTTCTGTAAGAGTTGAATCTTAACGAGAAAAAATCCAATGCTGACTCAAGAAACGTTACTGGAGTGCTATTCCTTCTCTCTTCTGTACTAGAGACACAGAATTCGGGTATGTGATGGCAGGGTCGTTAGACTCGTTACCCGCCAACTGGGAAAACTTTGGACTCGTCACACTAGCTTTCAACTCTTACAGTATACACATGTGGCTGGGTGCATGCTACATGTATAATGAACTACTACTAGTAGTAGTAGGCCATAGTAGGTGTAGTGAAATCAGAATGACTGTACTTTTGCGTTGATTTTTTACATTTTCTTTTCTAGTTTTACGTCATGGTCGTGGGTGGATAGGAGAACCAATAACGAAACAACTTTTCAGTCTCTAGACTCACCCTTGGAGAAATCAGTGAACTGCAGAGCTCTCATACAGAGCCCTTCTCCTGGAGTTTTGGGAGACATTCCATCAGGCAGCTTGCACGTACATACATCGTCCGAAAATTCCAAATTGTACAGTAAGTCATCACTAAATAAACTGAGAGATGATACAGGTTCCTCTGCCATGGTATCCCTAACACCTATCGCTGATATTACACTTGTATTATAAACGTTACTAGTAGCAAAAACTCCGGGCCTTTCCTACTTCCCAGATCACAAAAAGTTACACTGCATAAAGACTTCGTTCGTTCGGCCACATCCGCACACGAACAACCATCCATACCCGAAGAACAATATGAACCAGGGTAGGCGCACTAGGCGGAAGCAAAATTCCGGGTAAGTTTTCAAACAAAAGATTTGTCACTGCTACAACAAGTATGTACCAACGCACATGGCCGATTGGTTTGCAGGCCTGCCTGCGAATCATGAGGTCCCGAGTTCGAGACCCGCGCTGGTAGCAGGGAGCGTGTAAAGACTTTTTACGTGAGTAAAGACTTTTTACGCGTGGTGAACTGCGCCGACACCCACGGTCAACTGGGTACTCACAGCTCGGAGTGAGGGTAACAAGGATGCAGTTTACAGGGTTATGGGCCGTTACACGCCCGATTGGTTGAGAGACTCACCTACTCTCCCCTGACTCACTTGTGAGGTCTGCATTCGCCACTCAGGTGTGCAAGGCATAGGCATAGTGGTGGCCTGCGGAAGCGAAGGCTAGTTTGTGTGTTTCTGAACATTCAAGCGATGCCAACGCGAATCCCGCGAATTATTATTATTATTACAACAAGTATGTCATTGGCGCCATGGCATCATCATGATCATTCAATGACACACGTACACCCACCCACGAATCAATGACTCATTCAAAAGCCAAAACTGATAAGATTTTAGTCAAAACTCGATCGGGAAAATACTGCAAAAGCATTCAGAAATCAGATTTTTGATAGATTCTATCAAAATCACGATGAATTACGTGAGAAACTTGCAAGCATTTTGCTTTTTGGTTTTGGTTTTTGAATGCAGACACGTCTCACGAGTCACGATGCACACGTAGATCTACGTCTGGTCTGTCTTGCCAGAGATTTTGTTGAGTCTCATTCATTTGCTCACATCACTCACGACATTAGTGCATGTTTGGCACCAGACGTCTAGACACAGCTAGCCGTTTGCAATAGTCGCTGGATAGGCTTTGAGGACGCTTCAAGATAGTGTCGTTTTACAATTTGTTCATCGAACGTGATACTAGGATGTGGTCTGGATCTAACTCAGCTTCAGCAGGAGGTATGGAGAAAATCAAAATTTTAGATTTCCTTTTCTTTTTCCATTCATTCTCAAAAACCGAGAATGACCAGAACTATATCAGAAACATCACATGGTTATACAACACCATGAGATGAAAACATAGTCATGGTGATACTGGTATTACAGTGTGGTATTATTATTACTAAATTTATTAGTAGTACATTCGTCCATACTTGAAAATTGTATTATCTGATTGACTTGAAAAGTTGATTTTGAAAATAATGTAATGGTGCTAAAGGCTGGATTTATGGGTTTTTCAGTGGCTTCTAGCTATCTTTATCCACTGACGATGTTGTTCAGAACAACGAAACGTCTGGAGAAGTATCGTAAAAATTTCTATCGTTATTAAATGTTATCAAATATACCACTCTTTGGTCTAGAAAGAATACTTTTTGATATCATGTGAGTATTGCTATGGGTACACTGCGGTGCACTGCACTGCATATCCATGTACCGTAGTGTCTTGTATTAAAGCCTATCTCGAATAGAAGCCTGTCTTGCTAGTGAATACCAGCCTGATTTTCAAGATACACTGTCGGCACATAAGCCTGGTCTTAGTGTTGACACACATAGAAATACCTGGTTTGAATAGAGGCCTGATGTGGATAGAAGCCTAGCCCTTACATCAGCTTCTACAGGAATAAGCCCGGTTTTAATACGCGACATTACGGCACATCTTTTACCGTTTTAGCCTGATTGTGAAGCCATTTTGCTTTCTAGGTTCATGGTGTAGCGGAATAGCGCGAGCTCCAGTGTGGGGAGCAAACCCTTTCTTATGGTGTGTTACTACCAGGGAGTCGTACTCAAACTAGGGAGGTGACACGGCACAGAAATCCGTGTCACAGGGGTTGACTCGCACCAGTGACCCCTCGTTGTTATTTTTGGAATAGTTCAGTCCAGTCCGGTCCGAAAGGTCATACTCGGACCGACTCGCCTTCTGTACTTCGCCTCCAAGCGTGCAACGCAAGACCCGCAAAGTATGATTTTTCTGTGGGGAACGATTTTGCCATTGATCAAGTTTTTATTGGAGTGCTCAGGCATACTACGATTGCTGAGACGTCCCGAGCACACTTGTTCAGGTTCTCTATTTTTGACGAGCCGGTCCTACAGCCCCCTACATTGTATCTAACGACATAGGAGCTGACAATGTAAGAGGATTTCCCTGGAAATAATGATGATGGTGGTGTGACTGCTGCAGGAAAAATGCTGGCTGTTTATGACAGTATGACTAGATGTACAATGTAGCTCTCTTGTATGGTACTTAATCCCTGCTAAATTAATGTGTTAGTTAGGAAGACTGGTGTATTGTGCAAGTCATAAAGAAGAAATGGGGCAGATACACGACTTACAATTTTCAAAAACCAGCTTCGTGTTATGTGTAATTTGTGTCAAAATTGTAGTATTTAGACATGACAATATCATTGGCTGTACTTCTCTAATTTGGTACATAACCCCTGCTATAAATGTGTTATTTAGGCAGACTGGACCATTGTGCAAGTCATAAAGAAGAAGTGGGGCAGATACACGACTTACAATTTTCAAAACCTGGCTTCGTGTTATGTGTAATTTGTGTCAAAATTGTAGTATTTCAACATGACAATATCACTGGCTGTACTTCTCTTATATGGTACTTAACCCCTGCTATAAATGTGTTGTTTAGGAAGACTGGTGTATTGTGCAAGTCATAAAGAAGAAATGGGGCAGATACACGACTTACAATTTTCAAAAACCAGCTTCGTGTTATGTGCAATTTGGGTCAATTTTTAGTATTCGGATTAACCTAGGATACGACTCTGAACAGTTCTGAACAGTTACCGCAACACTACACGCCGTTTCGTAACTGCTGCTGTTGCCGGCATGCCATCACTGCTATCAAGTAGTTCGGACATGGCAGGAGCTAAAAAATTGCTGGTAGTCTTTCAAAGAATACTGGCGAGTGATGGGCTGTAAACGAAATGTGCTGCCTCAATAATTTCAAAAACTAGACACCCATGCGGCACGCTTTGAGGTGAAGTACAGAAGGCGAGTCGATCCGAGTATGACCTTTCGGACTGGACTGGACTGAACTATTCCAAAAATAACAACGAGGGGTCACGGGTGCGAGTCAACCCCTGTGACACGGATTTCTGTGCCGTGTCACCTCCCTAGTTTGAGTACGACTCCCTGGTTACTACAATGTAAAAAGTAGTCCGCCTCTAACCTCTCTTGTCTACCGTAAAGTCTCGTATAAAAGCCGCGGCTTAAATGATTTTTGGAGGAAATCTTGCAGGCTTCCATGTGAGGCAGGCTTCTATACAAGACAGATATTTCTATGTATGTCAACACTAAAACCAGGCTGATGTGCCGACAGTGTATCTTGAAAATCAGGCTTGTATTCAAAACAGGCTTCTATATGAGACAAGCTATAAAACAAGACACTACAGTATGTGTTGTTCTGTGTGTGCCGCTGTTGTTTGCATTTAGGACCAAGCCGTGCCCGGATCTTGCAGAGCCTCCAGGAGCGCAAGAGGTCGCGAAACAACTCCCTCAGTAGTTTGGGCGTGGGAGATGTGTCGACATCTGGTGAACCATCCAGGTATATTGCAAGAAATTGAAAGTGTTACACTGTAAAAGCAGAAATTTTCGGTGCTGTTTTATTTTCGGTAACTTCGATGCCGAAAATTTTGCCGAATATAAAACGCAACCAAAAATTTCGGTATAGTACTAGTGCACTTACCTGGAAAGCGGGTTTACCGAAAATTTCCCTCCGCCGAACTGCCGATTTTGGGGAATACCGAAAATATTACACCACCGAAAAATTCTGCTTTTACAGTAGTGTGTTTAACTACGCGCCGTGGAGACAATAATCGCAACACCATGGAGCGATGAATAATAGAAAGTGCGCACTCATATCACAAACATTGCAACCAAAACAGTTTGGGGATCCCAAGGGCATTGTAACTTGAGAGCATATACTTATTTGGTCTGTCTTGGTGCTAACTGTACGTTTGTGCTCCTTCAAGACTGCGTAAAATACAGCGTAACTTGGAGTACTGTGTGTGCGTATGGAATCTAAGAAGCACAATAACTTTCTGCTTGTGTCCCAGGGTTCTTCTAAACAAGTATAACGGCCATTGTGAGTGCTTTGGTATGTAATAGTGTGTGTGTTTGTGTGTGTGTGTGTGTGCGTGCGTGTGTCGGTGTGTGTCTGTATGCCTGTGTGTGTGTGTGTGCCTGTGTGGGTGTGTTTGCGCACAGCTATGGCGGCTCGGTGTCAGGCGGCGGCGGCGGTGGTCCTATGACGAATCCGGTGCGAGGCGCCATGCAGCCCGGCGGCCAACCGCGCTCCGCTCCTTCAGCGGCGGACCCGCGCACGGCAATGGGTGTTCGCGGCCAGCATCAGCATCAGCAGGGTGCCAGTGGGCACGGACCGGTACGATCTGGCAACACTGGTAGCGGTCTGGGAGCGCCCGGAAGTATGCGGCCGCACGGGCCAGGCGTTGACGGACAGCAGAAGCAGCAATCGTTCGCGCCCGGCCCGAGACGGTCGGGCACACTGGTGGCCGATATGGGCCATTTCCCCCCTGCCCAGAGTGAAGTGAGTCTGTACGGGCATCATCATTGGATTAGCGTACAGTCAGACCTCACTTATCCGCACACATCCGTTTTCCACAAAAAATATCTGGATTGACGAGGGAACCGGATAATCAAACGCACATACTGTGTGCATGGCATATGCTATAAATCGGTAACCAACGGTTTTCTTCCGGATGGCGAGGGATCCAGATAAAAGAGGACCGGATAAGCAAAGTCTGACTGTACTACACACTGGCTCATCTGTACCGTCTGGATACGCTGCTCTAGGCTTTGAAATCCCTGGTCTGCCCTTCTGGATACTGTACAATGGAGTACTGTAAATCAATTATATTTCCTTATTAAAAGCGAAAAATATTCGTAAACTGAGAAAGTGAACACTTCGTAGTCGTCTAACTGTCGTAACTGCCATCGACCATGGGCTACTGTGCTACGTGCATACATACAGTACTGTACAGAGGGTGTGACAAACTCTAGTAAGCGTTCTAATTTCGATAGTGGCGAGAGCCTTACGAAAATTATGAAATTAAAACGACTGCGAAATGTAACTGAATGATTGGCTTTGAAATCCCTGGTCTGCCTTTCTGGAAATACACTGTGTTGAGTCATTGAAGTGGCAATGACGTTGTGTAGGCATTATGATGATGTAATGATGTTGGTGTGTGTGTGTGTGTGTGTGTGTGTGTGTGTGTGTGTGTGTGGGTGGGTGGGTGGGTGCGTGCGTGTTTATTCAGTCTCTGCAGCATCCGGACGTGACGCGACTCCAGCCGGCGGCGTACTCCATGCCTCCTCCTCGTACAGCCAGCCCAGTGGCATTGTCCACTGGCCGCCCGCTCCTAGCTGCTCAGCAGCAGGTGGCATTGCAGGTAAGGATGAAAAATTAATACTTACGGGTACAGCCAAGAGTGCATACCCCCCCCCCCCCCCCAGAATGTGCAACTCCCACCCACATACCCCCACATACCCTGTTGTTCCGACAGAATTTCAAGTTGACGTCATTTCCATGATGCAATGCTCCCTGCACATGTGATGTACGGCCTTTGTACAACGCATCCCACTTGTTTCCTGGAACTAGTTGTGTGTGTATGTGTGTTTGTGGGTGTATGCGTGTGTGTGTGTGTGTGTATGTGTGTGTGCATGTGTATGTGTGTGCATGTGTGTGTGTGTGTTGCAGCATGCTCACGCCCAGTCACACGGCTACTACATTGTCCAGGAGTCGTCGTTCGGCAACCTCATTCTTCCCGTCTTGCCGCGCGTCGACTCTGTCAAGTAACAATCGAGTGGTGCTCATTTGTTGTTTTGCTTTTTTAAGTCTTATTTTGCTGTGTGATTTAGTACTGCATAGGTCAGTTGTTTATCTATTTAGAACTTCCGGGACGTGTTAGTCGATGTGCATGTAGCTGTATCTATTGTCGAGTACACACACACACACACACATACACACACACACGCACACACACACACACACACACCTGAACTACGGACTGACATAACTTAGAAGCATTCTAACAGGATTGCCGATGCACGTACGTACGTACGAGATTCAAACATCATACTATGAAAGAAAGAATGGAGGTGCATCTGCATCTCTCTGTGTCCTTTTTTAACTATTGAAAAACAAACTAGAAATGTTCTAGCCAGAAAACATACTAGAAAACATTCTCGAAAAAAAAATCTACTGTGGTGGCACAGTTCGTGACCAAATTGTCCGCTGGCTGAGCCAACTTGCTGCAAAGTGCAGTCAGTGGTATCCTGCTCTGCATGAGCACAGTCAGTATGGATATCTGTAGTGAGGTGCCTTGCCGGCATAACAACACTGTGTGCTCGCAGGAAGCAGTAACGCCCAATCCAAGCCAGGCCTGGCGGTATCAGCACGAGCAGCACTGTGTTTGATGCTGCAGTTGGTCAGTAGGACTTTGGCAGCAGCTTGCTTGCGATTGAGCTGTGATGCGTTGTACGCCTGTCTTGCTGAATGTGCGGTGCCGTCCTTGGGTCAGATTTCAGGCTCACATCTCCTTCAGGCTCGCACCTGGTGCATGAATAGCTTGCCTCTAGCGTCCCCGGCCCTGTGCTGGGCGTCCTGCTGATTATTCGACTCTGCTGCATGTGTCTTGGAGCTCACGCAGGTGGTTAGCTACGGCTCCTGTACCGCAGCCAGGTGTCTGGCCACCGTCTCAGCTATGTTAAAGTATGCCTTGGCCTGTAGGGGAAAAGAATCAGAGATCCATGGCCATGAGACTTACTGTCAGTCAACAAAATTTATTAATATTTGGCGCATATTTAACTTCGGCTATTTTCGGCCTGGGCATATTGGCCGAAAATTTATTGCGGTTGAAATTTTGTTTTGCAAGATTCAGTGTGACAGCAGCAGTACAGGCCGAAAATTTCATGTGGCCGAAATGTGTTTTGGCCCTGGGAGGCTGAAATTTGACTGGGTACTGTATGAAGCTGTACCTGAGGCGAGTCCGGCTTGGTCACAACAATAGGTGTGCCATCATCTGACATCTGTCGAATCTCCATGTGAAGAGGAACATCGCCTGGGATCAGAGTACGACAAGTAACACAAACCATAGCGCCGGTCAGCATTTGTTACCGCTTGGTCTCACAGCACAGCTCACGCGTGTGCGCGCACACACACACACACACACACTTGTACTTGTTGCTCACTGCCAAAACTGGTCACGTGGGTCTCCCCGGGAGAGGGGAGAGAGACTCAAAAGGAATATTGGAAAGATGACTCAATTGGCTATTGAACCGCCCAACGGCCGACACCCCCCTGAAATCCTCAAAACTCTGGGTGGACTTGAAAATGATCCCACTTACGTGCTCACCACACCTCAGTAAGTGGGTGAGGACAAGGTGCAGAAAAAGGATTGACGGCATCAGGGTATCCGTCCCGGGATCCAACTGCAGTTACCCCTGCCCCCAGTGAAGGTAATACTTGCTACTAGTGTGGGTGGCTAAATCAGAGTGGATCTGATACAAGCTTCACTAGCACCATTGATTACACAAGAGTTAATCTAGCCAGAAGTAGTCCATGGTTAACAGGTATGTATACTTCAAATAGAAAGTATATGAACCCTGAAACCAACAAAGGTGGTAGATCAACATTACACCTTCAAGCAGCCGAGCCCGTTGGCAACAGACCCAACACTATCCGGCATAAGTGTACACTGATCGATTCACAGCTGCACACATGGAGAAGGGGATGACACTGTGAAATGGAAATGCTCCTCATCAACATGCTTGTAGAGTGCAGATTGAGCTGCTGTTGAGCTGGTTCATTTTACATGTTAGTTAATAGAGAACATGATGCCGTTTCCACTGTCTTGCACGCTACCTTCGTACTGCGCACACTGTACCAACCAATGCGCATTTTAATGTTGTTTTTCATCTTTTTTTGGCTGCGTACTTGTGTGCGTGGAGGGTGACATAGTGAAGTAGAGAGCATTGAAATGAACGTCTTTCCAGCAAAGTCAACTTCTGTGTGGCGTTGTTGGCGTGCCCCAGTAGCGCTCCTTACCAATCACTTCAGCGCAATTCCCTACCAATCACTTCAGCGCAATTCCTTACCAATCAGCGCAATTCCTTCTTCCTTGGCCAGTCTCTCAGCGCCGGCCTCGCCAAATATGTGCGACCGATGCGAGCACTTTGGGCAGATGAAGGCGCTCATGTTTTGCACTATGCCGACCACCTGCAACAAGAGGATGATTGCAGCTGGTCAGCACAGCTGTGCCGCTGTGAGAGGGAACACGATGTCAAGCACTTTACAGTTTACACATGTACTGGCTGCACCGCACGACCAAGGGCAAGGCTAGCTTGCTGCTATTCTGAGGCATGTGCAGTCTCTGCACCGCACGACCAAGGGCAAGGCTAGCTTGCTGCTATTCTGAGGCATGTGCAGTCTTCCCTCTTTAATCCAGCACTTTATAAACCAGCACCCGCTATAAACCAGCACAATTTTCAGTTACCAAAATGTCCTCTTCATGCACATTGCAGCAGTATATCAGATTTTCGAATCCAGCACCCTACCTGATCCAGCAGAACTTCCTTAGCACAAATGGTGCCGGATTATAGAGGGACCACTGTACTGGCTATGTACCAGCACTGCACACATACTTGCAAGCACCCACCAGCATGGGTGAGTGACTGTCCATCAAAGCCAAAATGTCTACTGAACGCTTCGAAGTACCGATGTCTCCCCTTCAATAACAGTTACAGCATCAGTGTGTGTCAAGACAGACTCTGCAGACTCCATTGCTCACGCGTACCAGTACAATGAGATTTCACAAGTACCTGACTGTACATGTATGTACAGATAGTGCAGCATATATTCCAATACATGTACGGTGATGTACCCCATGGGGAATATTCGTGTACACTGGGGGTTTTACGGTACATAGATACTTCAGAACTTCAAAAAAAAAGTAGTTTTAGACTTCTCCCGTGCCCAGAATGGTGGCTTTATATTCCCAAACAAGCGTCTCAGAGAAAGTCCTTGCTACTGACTTTACGTCTTTACTACTTTAGCTGGCCTAATCTTCGGGGTGCATCTACTGCTTACACAGCTGCATAATGCCGTTTATTGTTTTTATTTTTTACTTTACTACTATTATTATTTTTTCGGCAACGCAGATGGTGATGAATCTTCATGCATGATACGTACAGGAGCGTTGACCTTCGTGAACATTGTATTCGCTCGCCGAACGTCAAGTAGGGCTATGTCCTGTGGCGTTGTAACCAGCACGACTCCTGTCAAGAAAGGAAGACGGGCAGGCAGGCAGTGCACGGTGCAAGTATGAGTTGCCACGTGCCGCAGGCAAGCACGAGGCGTACTGTAAAACCGGGAATTTTCGGAGTTGTAATATTTTCGGTAATTCTCAAAATCAACGGTTCGGTAGCGCGAAAATTTCGGTAAGCCAGTTTTCCAGACCCTAAAATGCGTTTTGCATACTGTGTGGCATGGTATTGTTGAATTTTAGGTCGCGTTTTATTTTTAGGTAAAAATCACCAGTACCGAAGTTACCGAAAATAAATCTCCACCGAAAATTTCCTGTTTTTGCAGTACGTTTTACGGGACACCGTTGACAAGTATGATAACACGATGCACTGTCGTGTACTTGCAATCACAAGCATGCATCTTTGACTTAAAAATGGCTAAAATCATATCCACCCCAAAGTGGTGTGCTGTACAATCCTTGCCATGCAAGCTACTTCGAAGTAAGTCTATGGAAACTGTAGTGTTATCCCTTATCCAATGTCACATGAAATGTGATGTGCTACATCATGAACAGAACTCGACCGAGTAGATCTACTCGCATTCACTAGCACTAGAGGTTCGAGTCTACCACACAGTTCCACTTGTGGGGGCTTAGGAAGTCTGGCTATTGACGGACTGATGTCTTGGCTGTGTCAACTAGGACAATCCTGACAGGCGCACGATACAGATTCACAACACTAGCGGTACAATCATGTTTTCGACTTCAACGGCATGTTACAAGGCGAGGACGCACAGTGCCCCTGACTACTGTAAAAGCCATTATTCTAACGAGGCGCATATATAACGATTTACCAAAATTGACTCGTTTACGTGTACCAAAGGTAACGATTCTCACTCATTCTCAACGCTCAATAGGACAGTACTATATATGTATCGATTTCTGTATAACGATTTCTATTTTAACGACAGATTTCTCCTCGTTAATTCATTAGAATTAGCACACAATATATATAATAGGCTTTTACAGTACAACCATAACTCGGTCGGCAGAGTCCCGGTCTTGCGACCGTTCGAACTGTATGGGAAAAAATACAATGCAATCGTGGACTACTGCATCACGCCCGGTTAGAAAGGGAGTGTTGTTCGTGCACTTCACCCGTACCGGATATGGGCAGCATCTGTGATATGGACAGCTGTGCATCACCAGTTCCCGGCGGCATGTCCACCACTAGCACGTCTAGCGGCGACCAGGCAACTTGACGCACCAGCCGCTGTATTCCCTGCATCACCTGCGCACACGTTGACGAGATCGCAGGTTAAAACACTGAACACATTCTCAGAATACAATGCGGCGAGTGGTGAAGTCTGATCAGAATAGATCAGCAATTTACAAACACATTCTGTACGATAGTTGCGGACGCCGAAGAACTGGGGGGGGGGGGCAGCCTCCTAGCCTAGACCGTTCTTATTTGTCATGTAGTACAGTCTATGCACGGTTGCGTAGCCGTGTATACATCGGTATGCTGTGCTTGGTGAAATTCTAGCCTGGTCGTTCTTTGGCGCTACGTCTTCGGCGCCCGGCAGTACTGTAGTGGTTGAAGTGCCACAACCAGTCCGCTACAGACAAATACCCGCAGGTGATAGCACGTCTCGCGTCTGGTGCATGTGCTCAACCTACCATCAGCCCTCTCCAGACAACAGCCGCACTCTCCTCCACGAGGAAGCCCATTGACATGCTGCCGCAGTAAAGAAAGAGACACATCGCCATCTCTTAGTTTCTAGGTTTACTGGCACCTGGCTGTACTATATGGATTAACAGTATCAAACGGGTTTCAGAGGGAAAGAGCAACATTGAGGCCAATTGAATAGCGGCGGATAGAAATGGATGGCGTCGACGAATCTGAGCCACAGAAACCCGGACGGGCTTACGATCATGATGAATGAGTAATGGCTGGACTGGTTCACAACTGGGTTCTCCTTTTCTTGTTGTTTCTCAGCGCATGAAATGAGGACAAGTGTGCCAAGCCAACCTTTCTCTGAATGCATGCAACTCATCAACATTATAATTATTACAATGCAGGACTGCAACGATAGAATGTTCACTGGTGGGGTTTCTTCAATACCCTTACCATTTTATCCCATAGTTCACCAGTGGAATCATGTGATTATCTGCAGAAAACACACAGCAAATGACAAATTATTGGTCTTCGCACAGACATCGAGTGAAGGAAGACATGCTGACACGATTGCACACACACGATGTCTGTACTGTACACGGCACTGCTAGCGTAGAAATTTATCCCACCAACACGAAGAGAAATGCTGAGATTACTCCACAAACGAGCCACTGGTCTATTCCTATTCTGAATTGGATTACTGGCCATAGTACCGGTACGTACTGTTGTCAAGTTCCGGGTTGCCGCTCAGGGACATCAGACGTGGTATCGACGGTCCATACACATCTGCGTCTAGCAGCCCTACCGACAAGGACTGTACGCCGGCAGAACGTTAGAGCGATAGGGCACAGGAATGAACAAGTACACACGCATAAATACAAATGCACACACACGCACACAAACACACATACATACACATGCGTGTGCACGTATGCACGTACACACACAAGCAAACACACACGCACACATGCACAGAGATACACAGTGCCGCATGACATGATCCCGTTGTGCAGCACCACCACACCGGCAACATGACTCCAAGTCACTCCAGTCCGGGTTAGTTATACGGAGTAGATACTGCCGGTGGTGACTCGTGACGTACCTTTTCGGACCGGGAAAGAGCGACAGCTAGATTCACTGCAAGCGGGACACAAGCACAGATTGGAATACAGTAAAACCTCTCAATGCGACCACTCGGATACGGCTACCACCTGTCCTAGAAGACCACTATAACCAGGACCAAGGGACACTATTTCCAGTTAATTGACCCTTGATAAGGCGACCACCTGGTAACAGAGACCACGTTTTGAAGGTCCCTTGAGCGGTCGTCTTAGACTGGTTGGATTATGAAGTGCTCATGGACTGTTTTTAAACTTTAATACAGGCAGTTTGTGAAAAGGGAGTGCTGGTTCTCCCCATGCAGTCTGTAATATTAGGCAGTTTGTGGAAAGGGAGTGCTGGTTCTCCCCATGCAGTCTGTAATATTAGGCATTTACCTGCACTACATGCACGCCACATACATGTGTACACACACACACACACACACACACACACACACACACACACACACACACACACACACACACACACACACACACACATACACACACACACCTAATGCAGTGCAAATAAATAGACAAATGGAGTATGTGTACGGCTATAGCAACACTGGCGCTGGGTTGGCTGCAAAATCTAATACGCTCTCGTACCTGCAGTGGTGGATTTGCCGACTCCCCCTTTGCCGGACGCAACCAGCACCACATGCCGGACACCATCAATAGCATCTTGCTTCGGCAGTCCACGTGCCATGTGTGCTGCCCGCAGTTCCTGTAACCGCTTCTCGGTATCCGGATTAGCAGCTGCATTGACACCCCCAGTAGAGCACAGATGACGCCGAGAAGTTGCCAAGGTTGTTACACAGCTCCTTGGGTTAGTCTGACCGCCTGTTGTGGAGCGTGTGCGTCCCATGGCATGACGTATTGAGTTCTGACAAGATTGCGTACCGGACACTAGCGATCTCACTGACCTCAGCATGCATACAGCGGGCATGCCAGCCACTGTCAATCGATGACCAAACGTTGCCATGCTCACTGTGCACGTGCGGAAAGCAATACGGGCAGCCTAGGACTGTGGAAAAGCAAATACACACACGCACACACACACACACACACACACGCCCTACGCACACCCACAAATATACACCGAACAAGATACTGTGATATATTGTGAGACCCAGCAATTCATTCGGCCCACATTCTGCTGCCACAACTCGGGGCCAAGCTACAGCTGCTCTTGTCTTGCCTGCCTGCCACTCCCGGTATGGTTTCCATTCCATTGCGTATCTTGGTGCCGACAGGTGGAATGCGCTGCCTCCATCTTGTCGCCTGGCCGAGTCGCCTGCTTTGTTTCGCGCTCACACAAAGTCTCATTTAGGGTTCCCAGTAAAAAGGCAACATTGCCTGTTGGGAAATCCCTAACAAAATAAGAAAAAATAATAATAATAATAATAATAATAATTCGGCCCGCATCATTACAGGCAGTACACTTACTACATTTTTCCCATGTAGTGTCACTTGCAGGGGTGGTAACTGTGGGGGTACTATAGGCTAATATAGGTCTGTGCCTATGCCATAGCCATAGGCTATGCGCAACGACAACCCAACTGGAACAAAACAAATTCAAGCACAACAAAACTACACCAGCGAACTGCATCACTAGTGGCTACCTAGTACCCAGTACCTGCGCTGCCGCGTATTCAGCTACTGAACACTCAGTGTTTATAATGTGTAGCTGGGTGAGTGCATAGTATAGCGTCTTACTTGAAGGTGTGCGAGTTAATTTTCAGTTCAAGTAAGATTGACTGTACGTTGAGAATGTGTTCCATGCTCCCAAGGGTGCCTCCGCCTATTACAGATGTTTTCAGCTTGACTAGTAGGCACCCACCTTGTACCTTGCTAAGTCGAGGACCACGCTTCCCGTATCAAGTTCACTACGAGTAAATTAATTATTTACGTCACAGGGCAAGCAAATCCCAAACCTGGGTCTAGACGTCTCCGTCTTACCCGTCGTGGCCTATTCAGATATTCACAGAAGACGATCGTGACTTGTAGAAACCAGAAGCTAGCAGCAGTAGCAGCTATTCCAAGTTCAAACCTGCTGCTGGAAAAAGTACCAATTCTGGCTTTTTTCTTCTATTCACAGTGTGGTATGTCATTGCATAGATCTACTTAGTACGTCATGATGTCATGATGGTTGGACTACGATTTTTCCAGGGTGGAAGGGAAACAGAAGAACAGTGAAGCCAAAGTGAGGAAACGCTCGGGATTTCCCCCACAAGAACAACACTCATGTCCGACTAATTCAGTAATTGGTGTCTTTTTGAGGACACTTGGACAAGGCCAAGTAAAGCTAGAGTTCACAAAACGATGCAAAGGCATGTGAACACTGACTGAGGTACATACACCACGCACATGACTTCTTCTATACATCATGTGCTTAGAGCTGACCAAAATAATGCTTCAAGTTCTTATTCACTACTTCACTAAAGAGAATAGACCTCATCGAAATAGTTCAAAAGAAATAATTGTCTCCAAGAAAACTTTATTAGTCTTGGGTGTTGTAACTACATTCTGACTAAATTTCAGTCGGTATGACAATGCAAAATGGGATGATGTTCCAGTATAGATCAGCTTGTTCAGGGCCAATGACTCAGCACCAACGAGTACCACTTCCACTCTTTCAAGAGTGACGATCATGACATGTCACTGTTCACTCTACACAAATAAAAGTTTAAAAAAATACTTGTACACATGTCAAACACTTTTTTTTTTTTAAACAGAAAGAGGCCAGCCCCTTCCTCCTAATCCTAAACCGCACGATATGTAGTAGACAGACCGTTCCACCAACAGAGCCAACATTGACATGCAGTATGCACTAGTTAGTGAGACAGAACCCAGTGTCGCCTTGTCACTCAGTTCCATTCTGCACCTTACCTGTAACATTCAATCGAGACTAATAAAGGACAACATGTTGTGGCTGTCTCTTTGATCATACGAGACTGACCTCGTTCTACGCTTCCTAGTGAGAGCCACACAACAAACAACAACATCTGGCCCCCACCTACCTAAAAGTAAAAGCCAACAAAACAACACACTGAAGTCACATCTTGCATGCTACTGGTACTAAGGGCACACACTGCCAAGGCAGAATGTTACTAAGGAAACACTCCACCTTGGGAGCACTCTAGTACCAAGGCTCGGAGTACTCTACCTAGGGAGCCCTCTACCTAGGGAGCATGCTACCAAGGAAGCACTCTGCCGGTGTAGTCAATCAGCGTGCCGCTCTTCTCCTTATTCAGCTCTGCCATACGCTCAAACATGCTGGCCACGGACGCACTTGGCGTGAGCGGTGCATCCTCAGTGCCCATATCCGTCTTCACCCATCCTGGGTGCAGCAGCAGCGACACGATGCCAGCCTGCAGCAGCTCAAAGCCCACCTGCCGCCCGAGCATGTTCAGGGCAGCTTTACTGGCCCTATACTCGTCCATGCGCATCTCCACGCAAGCATTGGTCAGCGAGCCCAGCGTGCTAGCAATGTGCACGACCGCGGCACGCTGTATTCCATACTCTGACTTGCTGCTCGCCGCCACTGCTGCCTTTTCCAGGAGAGGCTTCAGAGCTTTGAGCACCATGATGGGCCCTACGGCATTAACGTGGAAGTGAGCGAGGAGTGAGTCGCTCGTGACTTGTCCAAGGCAGGTTGTGCGCTGTGCGTACCCACTGTTATTTATAAGCAGGTTCAGGCCCGTGTCTCCGAGGAGGCCCGTAACCACTTCGGCAGCACTCTGTATTGACCGATCACTGACTACGTCCAGCTGTACTAAGTGCAGGTTGCTGTGGCGCGATTTCAACTCCTCAAGGCTGACGACAGATCCAGAGCCCGGGCCGCTGCGATGTGTTGCTATAAGGCATGCCGGGGCAGCCGAGCTGGCCAGCATTTGCCTGACCATTTCCAGTCCAATGCCACGGTTAGCACCAGTGATGAGAACAGATCGTGGAAACATCCTACTACAGTGCTCCTAGGTCCAACCAGGGTGTGTCTGATCACTGTGTACTTCGGACACTGATACAAAAATTATACTGCACATGTATTCAAAAAAATGCGGAACGAAACACGGAAAGTGCTCTAGCTTGTTCGAGGGTTCGCAGCAGAAAATAAGAATACAACGGGTACGAGAAGGTACTGGTAGATAAACATGGCTTTGTTTTATCTCCGCTCTTCTTCTCCCCACTTCACGGCAAACATGTGAAATACGACATAACAATTAACATCATTTAAATAAAACTCGAATCGTTTTTCATTCTTTACGAGCTACTACTAGCTACTGTAGATCTCGAAGACTGAAGTCAGCTCAGTGCAAGTGAAGAGTCGAAGTCGAAGTCACTCGACGACGTCGCCGACGGCGACGAAGCTTCGAAGGACGAAAAAGAGAAACAAAACATTACGTCATGCCATATCGATGTCACGTCAGTGACGTCACCATTGTTACGTCACGCAGATCATGAATCATTAATTTTGTACAAAAAAAGCTTCGTCACGCGTCATTCGTCAAGCTTCGGCATTTTCATTTTGCTCTTGAAAAAATTATGAAAACAACATAATAATGCATATTGAAGTAAAGTAGTTCAGTAAAATGATCTGAAAACTGATTCCACCTACCTAGCTGTGGTTACCAATCTCTCTCTCTCAGTGTGTATGCAGTAGGAGACAGCGGAAGAGGAGGACAATGGCCCTCAGCCGGTTGTCACTCGGAGGAAGCCGTTCGCTGGGCCAGGTGTGTGCGCGTGCGCTCGCAACAGGACCACAGCCTCCAGATCCAAAAAGTGTATACTATGGAAGGTGGAGTGTGTCAGAAAGAGTAATTCAGCTACCTCACATCAAATTTCTGAAAACTGGCTGGGCCAGAAGGCCGAAGCGTGCACTCGAGCAAGAAAAGTTCAACATGCGTACTGTACCAAGAAATCGTTTTCTTGTGAACCAGCGCTTGATGGAAATGGACCAAGCTGGGGAGAAGATCAGTGATATCACTCAATCCGATGCTGATGAAGCCGAAAGTAGCGTAGCTGAGGATCACGAGGGAGAGAACGAGTCAGCCGGATTGCCTGGGTGAGCGCTTTGCAGTGCACTTCTTGCTGTGTATTTTTTGTGTGCGTTTGTAAGTGCATGCGGACTCGCTCACACACATGCACACGCACCTACTATGCACGCACGCCCGTAGCAAGAGAAGCATTCAAATCTGCAAGTGCACTGGGTGCACGCCCGCAGAATTTCTCAGTCCATGTTCAATACTAGCAACGATATTAGATGAGATCTGAAAGAAACAGATCAAGACTCGCACCAAATAAGCGTCCGATCCACACAACTGGTGACCACGTAGACATACATACACATACATACACACACACACACACACCACACACACACACAAACACACACGAGGGGCGTAGCACCCGCTACGACTGGTACGACCATGGCCGCACCACTTTTCGAAAAGTGTGGTCCGTCCGGAACGTGCAAAACCGTAATAAAAAAAATCAGGATCCATCGATGCATACCGGTATGCGCATCAGACTTTGACCTTTTTCTAGACTCGTACTCGTAGATCTGTTATGCATCTGCAGTCGTACTGAGTCTACTGTACTTGACTGCACACTGCACCAGAAGTGTGCCAGAAGTTCCCAGAACGCAGGATTTTGTGTCTTTTTTACAAAATTTTCCCGCGGGACGTCCCCCAGACCGCCTCCAACATGGCCTTCGGCCGCACCGACCTTTGGTCGTACCACTTCCCAAACCCCTCCTACGCCCCTGCACACACACACACACACACACACACACACACACACACACACACACACACACACACACACACACGTAGAGTAGTACAGCACAGCACAAACAAGGGTTTTGCAGTCTCGCTACTCTCAGTTTCCTGCTATTTCCGACCTCCATCAGACGACTCATGACCCGCTGGCTCTTGCCTTTCCCACTAATATGCTTGCATGCCGGTTTCATTTCGATTATTACTTCTCAGTCCCTGATGGCTTGCTCTAATAATTATGGGCTCGGTCAGTGTCGTGCAGTGTTATCGCATGAGCTAATTGTTTAGAAACTGGTGATGTTAGTGGACATTATAGCGTAACTTGTAGTTCCTTGGTCCTTTTAATAATTTTTTTTAAATCTAATAATTATACATGTACATGGTCTGTGGGCCATCATGACACCAGCCAGCCATGATGGGATATCGTCACGATGGGCAGAATGTCAGACGTGACCCTACCTGTATCAAGAGTACTGTAATTTCACAAATAATTTAATTTTCGGTGTACTTTTATTTTCAGCACTTTCGGTACGTCTGTTTCATACCTAAAATTTCAATACACTGAACAAACACCAACACACATAATCCAATAGGGAATTGCTCCTCTGTACCTAAAATTTCAGTTCATCTAACTGGCCTTTTGCCCCCATACCGAAAATATTGAGCACCTAAAATCTCTGAATTTAGAGTACTTCATTGACAGGGCCAGGGGTGGGTGGGGGGAATTGTATGACGATTGACTATAATCGCTGCAACCTCTTTTTTGTTCGTGCACTGCATGGGCTGGACATCTTAATTAATCAGGTTTTCCTGAAGATGGGCCTTGCCCGAAAATTCGAATAATTTCACACCTCTTTTTCTTTTAGTGATTGGTGTAGCCCAGAGACCGTTTGGAGAGTGAAGATGTATGAATATAGTGGATGGCTGCAGTGGAGTCTTCGCGTTTTGAGAATTGTGCTGGTTTGTTCCAAGAAAATTAGCGATAATGCCGGACGGCCCCTGGTGTGTTCAGCAGGTTGAGATCATATGTGCCTGGAAGCTACCATTCTTCACAGGGGTGACGTGGATTCTGAAGATGGGCCTTGCCCGAAAATTCGAATAATTTCACACCTCTTTTTCTTTTAGTGATTGGTGTAGCCCAGAGACCGTTTGGAGAGTGAAGATGTATGAATATAGTGGATGGCTGCAGTGGAGTCTTCGCGTTTTGAGAATTGTGCTGGTTTGTTCCAAGAAAATTAGCGATAATGCCGGACGGCCCCTGGTGTGTTCAGCAGGTTGAGATCATATGTGCCTGGAAGCTACCATTCTTCACAGAGGTGACGTGCATTCTGTTCAACTCTGTCTCTCTCTCTGTCTCTCTGTCTCTCTCTCTCTCTGTCTCTCTCTCTCTGTCTCTCTCCGTGTGTGCATTCACAGACTGAGCCTGTTCAATCGAAACCACCGTACCGTGGCACCGCATGAGGTTGACAAGAAGATGCATGCCATGGTCAAGCAGTACTACACTGCAGAAGATGGTGACGTCGACGGGGACTGGACCAGCATTGAACTAACCGACTTGTTGAAGAAATTCCATGTGAGTGATGCTGCCTGCATGCAGTTTCTCCTGTTTGTTACGCCGTATAGCATTTAGGGCTGCTTCACATAAGCACACTTATTTCGTGTCTGACTACCTGTCTGTGTACGTGTGTGTGTGTGTGTGTGTGTGTGTCTCTCTCTCTCTCTCTCTCTCTCTCTCTCTCTCTCTCTCTCTCTCTCTCTCTCTCTTTCCGTGCACTGGTGTGTATGTGTGTGTGCGTGTGTGTTGATATTATCAGTTGTTGGCACACTGTGGCAAGGAGTTTGACGCCATCATGTCCAACTCGCGCCTGACCGAAATGAAAACTGTGGGCGATGTTCTGGCACACTATCAGCGTGAGCCCGAGAAGATGGTGTATTACAAGAATTTGAACTTGGAGGAACTCCCGGAGAATGTCAAATTCCAGATCAAGCGCGAGTATGTGCTGCGCAAGGGTGATCTTGCCAACCAGGTACGGTGTAGTGTGAGGGGCGTGGTAGGGCAGTGTGGAGTGGTACGACCAGGGTGGGGGTGTCCCCCAGGGGAAAAAATCCGTTTTCTCGGCCAACATGGCATGTTTAGCGCTAAAAATCCGTTTTCTCGGCCAACATGGCATGTTTAGCGCTCTTTTATTGTGTGTGTTTTCTTTGGATGAATTGGGACCATCCTCGACTAAAAGTGGTACAACCATCGTCGTACTGGTCGTACCGTGTTTGACGCGCTTGAATGTGATGTGTTGCATTGATCAGGCTTGAATTCCGAAACCCATGATGACATTGTGTTGGCAAATTGAAGTTGTGTACCTTGTGCGCGACGCTCTTCAGTGGGTATGCTTCACTACATGATATACGGCAGTGACGCATCCTCAGAGGCACACCTGATTTATTGCAGTAAGACAACACGTCCTAATCAGATGTCTGTTAGGTACATAGTTGTACTACAGTTTGTGCGGGGGGGGGGGGGGGGGGGCTCTCTTTGATGGTATACCTTGACTTGTCTTTGTCCTGTGTGCTTTTTGGGCTCTGCCGTGCGCATTTTCCTTCTGCAGGATGAATATCGCAAGCGGAAAGCATCGTGGGCCACTGTCAAGCTAGCTGAAGGAGCCCATGCGTAACGTTGCCACGGCCACTGCTGCTCATTGGGCAGGCTGTATTGAAGCTTTCCGCAAAGACTTTAGAGCTGCTTTGCTCCTGATTTTATTATTGTCTACATCAAAGACGGGCCAGGCCATTTGGAAGATATGGTCAGGCCGCCGGTGCACAGCCACCCACCCCAACACACCAGAACAGAACAAGCCAAGAACTATGGACTGTTGCATTTCAACAGGTTAGCCTGCATAGGCAAGCACTTTTTGTACAGGAATTTTCTTGGAATCAAGTGTACATTTCTCAAGGATGACCCTAGGCAAGACGAAAACTGGTCGCGCTGAATATATTTCTTTGCTGTATCAAACGTGGCTAAAGGTTCAACGGTCGGCCAGGCTTTAATTCCAGCTATTATCTGGAAAAAGTCTTCATATTATAAGAACATGCGACTGACCGCTGAAATTATTTCTTAGCCACGTATTATCCAAAAAGAGGACCAAAAGTTTACAAGTTATCCGTTTTGTCCAACACTAACGGTTATAAGCAGAATACTGTTGAGTCAAAAATGTGCAACAATTAGCACAAAACTGACTGGTGAGATCATGACATTCAACGACCTGATGCTTCTGCTTATTACCGTTTAAATAGTGTTGGACAAAACGGATAACTTGTAAACTTTTGGTCCTCTTTTTGGATTTTTTAAAATCCTTGGCTCTCCATCCGAGTTTAATCCACGTATTATCAAGTGTACTTGTACTTAGTTGAACATCATGCAACACTGGGACATCTCCATCCAAAGTATTCTACTCTGGAGAAATCACACGCTCAATATTGATGTCAATAAATGTTCGTGTGCTTGCCATGGGCAAAATTAGACATAAACATGCTGCCCAGATTGCAAAAGTGTGCAAACAACAGCACGTTGCTGCATGTCATCTCTTTGCTGTGGGCCAGATGCGTGGCTCACTGCCTTCCCTCACATCGTACCGCAACATCAGCGCAGTCCAGAAGTCAAACACCACAGTCTCCCTGTACTGCCGTTTGTACGCAACTGGGGTTTCTGCACCCAAAGCTTGGAGATCGCGGTGGTACTTGGCGTTTTGGAATGAAACTGGGAAAATGTCTGTGCAAATTTGAGATATTGCAGGTTAACGAAAAGATATGTTAACGATCTTGCAGTCTTCAGGCATATCCGCATATAACACATATCAGGCATTACAGCCTCAACAGAACTTATTATGACGAAGAAATGTAAAATGAAGAAAGTGTCTGCTCCGAACGTCGGAGCTCGCGCTTCCTGCCGACTGGTTCACGATTGCGTCTGGAGCAGACACTTTCTTCACTAATCAGTAATCACCGCCGATGTCACAACATCTGTCATTTTGAAGAAATGTAATGTGTTAAAACGTTAGATTTACTTCCTCATTATATTCATATGTCTTTCAGTATGCATGAACACTGCACGTGCACCCAGAGTAGAAAACTGTACTGCCTTCAGATCATCTACATGCGTTTCATGTCGCAAAAGTTGAACTTTGGTCAACTTCTGCGACGGTGGCCTTGCGACCGCTGGACACAGGCATCTCCTTGTCGCAAATGTCGCACAGTGAAACCTGTCTAAGACGACCACTCAAGGGACCTTCAAAACATGGTCTCCTTATCCAGGGTCATTGGACTGAAAATAGCCTCCGTTGGTCCTGGTTTCGGTGGTCTTCTAGGACAGGTGGTCGCCTTATCAAGGTGGTCACCTTATCAAGGTGGTCACCTTGACAGGTTTTACTGTATGTCAAGACCTGGCAACTTCAAGTTGTCTCTGGTAGGGAGATCACCCTCCAGGTTGGGCTGCCAGTAGGGAGACAGGGACGTCGGAACTGGTGCGGCTTTCATCTTGTGATTTTTGAAAGCAATGAAATACAGTAAAACCTGGCAAGGCAACCACTCGGATAAGGCGACCACCTGTCCCAGAAGACCACTGCAACCAGGACCCAAGGATGCTATTTCCAGCCAAATGACCCTGGATAAGGAGAGCACCTGGTAACAGAGACCGTGTTTTGAAGGTCCCTTGAGCGGTCGTCTTAGACAGGTTTCACTGTATGGACCCGATTTCCGTAAAAAAAAATCCCCGGGGAGGACCCCGCGCCCTCCGCCCATTCATGACCGCAACAATGTCGAATACCTTGCGACGCCCCTGGGAGGTCTTGCCCTATAGCCTAAACATGTAGGGGTAAAACTGGTGCCTGCTATGTAAGCACATTGACCATGCATAGGCAGGGGCGTAGCAGCCGGTCCGGCCGGACCACTTTCTCGCCCAGAATGCAGGATTTTGCACCCTAATTTCAAAATTTTCCAGGGGGGACACCCCAGACCCCCCCCCCCTCCAACAGAGGTGCTACGCGCCTGATAGGGAAAGAATGCCACCTGCACTGACGAGTGGACCACTGTACAGGCATGGTTAGGGTGCGTTCAGACTACCGTGAATAGGGATAAAACGTGAAGGGCATTCCCACTACCGATAAACTAACGTTTAATACCGTTACTTACTAGGCATATGCGCATTCTGCCGGCAGAAAAATTGGCAGAATTCGGTACCTTTTCTGGTAAGTTTCATGCATGTTTGGTACGTGGATAAAGAAATGGAGCAGAATTCGAAGAATTGCCCGCCATAAGGTTTATATGGTTCTGCCAATTTCACTGCTTTTCGAGCAGAATCTGCCACCTCTTCGAGCATTATCCGCACACCCCTAACCGTTACGTAACTACTGTAAATATACAAATTTTCGGCAGCCATTTAATTTCGGCTATATTCGGCACCGACCCAAAACGCCGGTGAAATTTTTCACAGCATCTGTCGCACTATACCATGCCCTCTATACCCCACGCTGAAAATAAATCACCGCCGAAATGTCAAAAATCGTGAAGTGCCGAAATTTTGCAGCGCCGAAATTTTGTATATTTACAGTAAGTTGCAGCAAGAGTACATAACCCCCCCCCCCCCCCCCCCCAGATTGTGCAACGCCGATACAGCTCTGCATAGGGTCTTGGTCGAGCGGAATCGGATCTTCTGATGTCATGCGTACACTCCACACCAGCACAAGGCCGGTATCGAGGCAGAGCGCCGTTGTTTTTGATTCGAGAGTACCCGCGACTCCCCGGGTTCCCCTCAGATGTGTACGGTATTATGACGCAAAGATCCGATTACGCTCGACCAAGACCCTATGCAGAGCTGGATCAGGCGTTGCACACTCTGGGGGTTATGTACTCTCGGTTGCAGCTCTCACCACGGCACTGCGAAGGGATTTTCCCTTTTTCCCCCAGCCTAGGCTGGGGGAAAAAAAGTGCTCAGGCTAGCCTGAGCACTTTTTTACTGCCGCAGCACGTCACGTGATCAAATAACCTTGGAAACTTTCCCAATCGGTCACTTTTTATCAGTAGTCTGAACGCGCCTTTTGGCTTTAGCACACTTGCCGCAAAATCCGTGTCGAGCATGCTAGCACTGTAGCAGGGAGGTTTTCTGGTCGGGGGGAAAAAGGGAGATATTTCAAGAACATCAACAAAATCGGGCAATTTCCCGGCTGATAGTATTAGTAGAATTTGGCACCTCAGGCTCAGCACGTCGCACTTGGCGTTGCAGAAAGTGAATGGGCCGTCTTCTCGTACATGTACTCGTATGCTCTCTTGCCATCTACACACAACCTAACGTTACTGGTAATCATAAATCATAAAACATTCTCATATTATTATAACCTATAATTAAAGGGGAAGTCCGGTGAAAAATTTAAATTTCACAGTCCGTAGAGTTCGGGTCGCTGAGTCGAATGGTCTTTGTCCGAGGAGGCTGCGGCCTATGGTTCGTCAGATACGCCCAATCGAACAAGCGCGAATTTGAGCGCACATCACCCAGATCCAGGTGATGACGTCACAGCGTGCAGCCAGGTAGCCACACCATCTAGTTGTGTACAAAATGGCCATATTCGGAGCGCGTTCGATTGGGGAACCGTTTGTCGCAGCTTCTTCGGACCAAGACCATTCGATTCAGTGTTACAAACACTACTTTCCTTGTGATTTTCAGCTCGGTAAACCTCGAGGTTATACCGTATTTTAGCCGTTTCCGAGTTGGACTTTTTCCGTCAGCAAGGCCTCTACGGCTCTAGCAATGCGCTGCGTGCATGCTAGCTGTAGTGCAGTCAACAAACTCACACACGGAACTACTCGCGCACTGCCGTGCAGGGGTAGCTACAACAAGACTCGAGTCACAAGACTCAGAAAACTAGTCAACACACGTACACAGACTTGTCATGTACTACACTCGTATCAGTTCATGTGGTCAGAGAACGACGCTACGTGCGTTTCTCCTTGCCGGTGCCGGTGGTTGTGCTTTGAGAAAGAAAATTTTAGTTTTCCGCTCCAGTCCCGCCTCATTATTTTTTGCTACAGCGATGAGTGCACAACCGTGACAAGTGACAAAACAGCGAACAGCTCCCGGACCTAGAACTTTCAGATTCCATAGCGTTGCGAGCGGAGAGCCGTGCCCGTGGTTCAAAGAGCCTGCACTGTTCTCCAATTGAGTAGTCCGAAATATGCCAAGTTCGCACCAAAACATCACCATGTGCCAGGCTACTGGAGTCTAAGCGAATCGGTATGGAACAACATTTAGAGTACTCGCATCACTCTTCTCCATTTTGGCGACCCTGCTCTCCAGCGATCTGATAATTATATCAGCCTCGTCTGCAATAGCTGCTGCTTCTTCATCAGTCGGAAACTCAGTAGCGCTCACTCTTGACCGGCCCGCGCGGCCATTTCTTCAGCTGAATACCGAGGTTCTCAGCGCCAGACCAAACTCATGAAGGTCAGCCATGGCTGCATCCTCACTCTCACAAGGAGTTAGGTCTTCGGGGTCGCTTGCACCACCTAATATCAGTCGCCAAATCATTTGAAATAGCACTGACACTATTGCTTTCACGCACTCCTTTTGACCTAGCTGCACGCTATGACGTTGCGGAGGGTGTGGCGCGGCCGCATGACGTCATGGCGCAGCCCCCGAAACTCAGTTTTTCAAACGGAAATATCTCGAGAACGCTTTGGCAGAGACACGTGGGACCAACACCATTCGACTCAGCGCCCAAAACTCTACCGACCCTGAAATTTAAATTTTTCACCGGACTTCCCCTTTAAGTAAGAGACAACCAGCTCCAGTGGTTGTCACCTTTCACCACTGCTGTCATTCGCACTTTTCGATTTGCCCCATGATGCAGTCATTTATGCTTTGCACTGCCGCCATTCACAACTTTTAGATTTGCGCCCTGATGCAGTCATTTACACTTTGCAAGTTTGTGGGTATCTAAACCAATACTGATCCAGATTTACTCATTGCTGTTGTCTGATGATCGCTTAGTGCGTGAAACTCAGAGTTAAAGCACTTTAAAAGAAGTTTCTCTGTCCTCTTGTTTGAACCAGCTCAGCCTACACTCTTGGACAGCCTGGAACCTCTCTGTTTTATAATCTAAAATTGCCATAACGGCCCATAATACCCCAGAGACCGCGGACGCGCAATTTTCCGCGTTATTTTTGGCTTTCATCCGCGTTGCTGAGAATTTTTGCATAAAACCCGCGTTATCCACGGGAATGTACAAGAAAACAGCTCTAGTACATTATGTCGAATATGTACTACAACGCCGTACCCACCCACAAGTTTGTATGACAAAGTTGTACTCTTGCTTGCATGAAACTGTACACTAAACGTGTACAAATGACAGACAACTCGTGCACTATATTAAGCTGTGTTTACATGAGAAGTTTCAACCCGGGTCGAGTTCAGCCCGGGTTGAAAGTCTGTACGACAGACAAAAGAGGTGAGCGTTTACATGAAGACAGTTGACCCGGGTCAAATACTGATATGCCGCCAAAAGTCCACTTCTACAGTCCTGCATGGTCACGTGAATCCGTTCGCGCGAAATTTGCATCTGCAGTGCTGTTCAAACCTGGCGCGAGATACGCACAGAAGTACGTTTGTACGATTTTCTTGACCCGGGTTGGTTTCAACCCTCCCCTTGGGGGGAGGGTTGAAAATGACTTGAAATCAACCCGGGGCGAAATTTCAACCCGGGTCAAGCGCAATGCGTCATGTAAACGCGCCATTCACTTTGTGCATATGGCGGGTTGAAATCTGACCCGGGTCGAACTCAACCCGGGTTGAAACGCCTCATGTAAACACAGCCATATATGGCCCGTTTTCATAATTTTAGGAGGGTATGTCTGTACGTATGCGCGCACGCGTGCGTACAGACACTCTTTTAGGACGAACACCAAGCGCCTAGGGACCGGTGGCATTTGCTTGCAATAACGGGAGTTCTTCTTATCCATATTTTATACCCAGCGAATACACAGTGTTCTATCTAGTAGAGTTATGAACACGTGTCCTTATAGCGAAAGTCTGTCTGTCTGAGGAGCACAGCGCAAAAGCATCTAGTACATGCACAGTACTACATTGTAAAAATTAGAAAGAAAATAGCTCTCCTCACATTCTATGACTGGGTAGTAAAAAGTAATTTTATAGCTAGGAAGGTAGATTTACCTATCATTTTTATGTAATAGATATGCTCCTTTGATATGAAGTCCATGAATTTCGACAACAAATCTGAAGAAGAGCAGTGCACCATGGCATTGGAAAAGAAGCGCATAAGCATGGCAAAACCAGCATTCCACCACTACAGACGCTGCCAAGTAGGAGAATGCTGGACGGGAAAAGTGAGAGAAAAGCAATACGTCTAGGTTTGAGGATCGAGTATGATCTTGCACGCAGCGCCAGAGAACAGGGCAGCAAAAGCGTCTTCAAACTTGGTCAGTGGGAAGCGATGGGTGATGACGGGCGAGATGTCGATCCTGAAAAAGAGGAAGAAAAATACTAAGTGATGCAAGAGGTGAAAAGACGGACTGTTACGGTTTCAGAAGCGAAGCAGGTACATGTTAAGAAGTTGACAGTGAAGAAGATCTGATATATTATACGAATAGGCGGCACGGAGACAACAGGGACCTTTCGCAACACACGTACCGACACGAAACGAATGTCGATTCGTCGCCTGGGTTCGAGGATTCATCAGAGTCCCTTAGAGGCGCTCGTTTTCACGAATGGAAGGTTCTTCATTCGTGGACCGGTCCGAATCCGTCAGGTACACATTTGTGTACATGACTGTACAGTCTCGCTCAGTGAAATCCGATCCAAAGCGCAAAGCTGGCGCCCGGGACCAGTTCCGATTACATCAATGTGTTTGTGTACAGATGTACGTCCAGCCGCGTCCGTGCCACTTCCAGGGAGTCAAGGGCATGCAAGTCGAGGACGCTAAATGTGCACTCTGGGTCGGTTTTCACCGAGAGCAACTGTACAAGGAAAGTACTGCTATACATTCTCAGACATACAGAATGAACACAGGAGCAGTAACACCCCAGATGAAGTCAAACTAATATCTTACTTTCCACTGGCTAAAATCTCCTCGGACTTCTCCCAGGTGCTGAAAATCTTGCGGCCGTGGACGGTGCGCAGTGTCAACGACTTGAACATGACATCGGGTAAAGGATTCTCGACATGCAGAGGAGCCTATATTACAAAACAACATATACACAAAAAAGGAAGAAAAAAAGTTAGTTGTAGAACGTCAGTACCGTCGGTCAGTGCCGTGCAATGTTATCGCAGGAGCTGATTGTTTAGTAACTGGTGGTGTTAGTGGACAATAGGGAGGTTTTGCTCTACGGAATTACGTATGAAAACAACGTAGGAACTGCACGGAATTTTCATACGTAAAAATCAGAGCTGTTGGGTTTCGTTCTACGTGATTTCTCCACGACTGCTTAACATGCGTTGTTGCTTTGGAGACGCGTTGGCTGCATGCGAACACCGCATGCACCACGAACAGAAACAGCGTTTTCCATTTTATTTTGCACGTGGTGTACGGTGTGTGTACCTTGTGTTTCGCGCAGCTTGGACGTTGCCATGGACAAATGCGGAGAATGCGAAAAAATATTTCAAAACGTCCTATGGAGGACACAACGTAGGAAAGAGCTTTGTTAGGAAATCCATAGAGAGATTTAGGCATGAAAGTTGCCCTCGCTCCCCGGCGCGTACGACATACGGATTTTCATACGTAACTACATAGAGCGAAACCTCTCTATTATAGCTTGTAGTTCCTTGGTCCTTTTTCTTTTGTATAAAAAAAACAGTTTCTTGTTCTCTTACATACCGGTACATGTACATGAACCACACACAGGATGTTTAAAATGCTCATGAAAGCGGGAACGGGGCATCAGAACAGCTGAAAACTGGATACAATCCAAATTGGATACAACCCAGAAGAAGAAGGTGGCCGTAAGCCTTCTTTCCCTGTAAAGCCAGGTTGTACGGCAGCACTGCATAGCTCGGCTACCCTGGCACAAACAAGTATATGCACCAACTCTTCTACAGCATCTTTCATAGATGGAGGCCGAACCAGGATCAACCGTCTAAGTGCACCATAGTCAACTAAGCTCACCTTTGGTAGTCCTACAGCCAACACCGTGCCTCCCTTCCTGATGCACCATAAACACACACACACCACACACACAGAAAAGCAGATGTTAGTAGGGTTATCCTGGTGCACAAGAGCTAGCAAACAGTCAGTGGCAATGCCGGCAGGTGCATAGCAATCATGTCCTAGCTATACAACAAACCACATGTATGATAATTATAAGCACAATCAGACAGCAAAGCAGGATACCATTTCCTGTATTTGTGCACATTACATGCGACGAGGGGAAAGCAGTAAACAGATTAAGACTAAGGACATCACTCCAGCCAGAAAGAGCCATGCACAGGATGGGGGTGGGGTGGCCACAACAAGCGGCATGTGCCTTGCCAAACTTCCCAGTCCCAGCACAGAAACAGATCTGAGGTGGGTATCGAACGAGGTCATTGCTTTACTCCCAAGCACAAGACTGACATCTCCACTGCACCATCAAGAGATGCGGAGATGACACGCCAGCTGCCAATAAAGGCCGGAGGCAACTCAGGAGAGAGATGGATAGATAGAAAGAGAGAGAACACACTACACCTCCATGCAGCAGCAGCAGCTCAAACAAGATGTGTGCGTCTGCTTGCATGGCAGCCAACTAAAGCACTCACCTGAGCAAAGTAAAGCAGTTATTCAACATGGGAGCCACACCGGATGCCTCCACTAGCCGACCAACACCGTCACCACCAGTTTCTCGCATCACTGTCCAGGAACACACACACACGCATGAACAAGTGCAGGATTATCAAGTGAACTGTACCAATGTATCAGCATTCACCAAAACATCAATGGATATAGAGAGTCTGTTGCTGGCCAAACTTCCCAGACCCAGCACGGAGCTATCTGAGGTGGGTATCGAACGAGCAGGTTAATGTCTCCTCAAGCTATCCTGGCAAACCACACATGCCCATAGAGGACTGAGAGTGCCAGTATGAAGATGGAATCTTCAATGCAGGAGGATAAGAGATGCACTGCAGGTAGACCCCCTTTAATTCGAACCTCAAATCGACAGGCCCCAACTTCGAATTATCCGGAAAAAAAGCTATCCAAATGCAGCCCAATGCACTGATATGTATGTCAAAATACTGTAAATCTCATGCTGATTAGTTCTGAACATTTTATTAGCATGAACGAAACGTAGATGGTCATGCACAATGGACCAAGCCAGACAATATCTTTATCTTCTAGTGAAGAAGTCGTTAGTCACTGCAGCTGTCCTGAAACAATTTCAACGTAATGGAACAGCGCTGCTTAATCCGCGCCATGAAAGGCCGTCGGACAGCAGCACGTCGTTGTGAAGAACGGAAGTGGAGCAGATGCACAGACAGTTCTTACGACTTCCAGTCACTAGTGTTGTTGTTCGCAAACATCTCCGCGCACGAGCTGGCCACTGAGATCCGCGAAAGGAGTCAACCACCTGGAAGAAGTAGTCTTCAATCAAATCTTTGCACTTTGCCTCGCACGGGCTTCAAATTTCGAGACAAGGTGGGTTTCTTAAACGCTATTGTTGATCCTGGAGCAGACCAGGGATCGATTTTTGAACAGAATGAACTTTGAAGCAACCCCATCTCACTGCGAATTACGCGTTCGAAGGACACACTGTACTGTAAACTGCCCTTCTGTACGAATAATTCAGTCGGTGCATTTTTTGTACTTTGAATTACGCATTCGATTTTGAAGCGACTTGCAGAAGATGAGTACGACGAAAAAGTTCGAAATACACGGAATGTTCGAATTATACCGTATTAGCATTAGAGAGAGTCTATCTGTACTAATAAAGTTGCTGTACATATCGATCACAAGGCCATACGAGAGAGAGAGAGAGAGAGAGCCATGCTGGCTTCTACTCCACCCAACTACTGAATATCAGGGTCACACTATGCTGGCAATGTGTGACTAAAAATGTAGCCACGTGATAAAAGACGGGAAACCACTCCATACCAACTAATAAGCAGGGCATGATGCAACCAGACAGGAACTCACCAGCTTCTTTCAGGTTTTCCTTCAGGCCATTGACGAGTACGGTGGCACCAAATGTCCGCGCCAGCTCTAGTTTATCATCCACGATGTCTGTGACAATGCTGCAGAATACAGGAAATGCAACCGATACGGAAATAACAATGTAGGTATGGCGCATGCATCGGCACAGTCCACGCCAGTCTAAAAAAAGAAAGTAGCGAGCTGTATTGGTTTTCCACACTTGCAGTATTGTGTATTTCCCAGAATTCTTTACCCAGCGTCATTGCTGTTCTAGTTGTTTTAGTCTAAAGAACGGGAAAACAGAAAATAATGCTTACATCTTGGAGGCACCCATGAGGTTGCACAGCGCAACGCAGAAGATCCCGATAGGGCCACAGCCTGAAAGGAAAAGAAACAGAAAACAAAATATAGCATGAAGGACTGCAATGTGGAGCAACAATAAAAGAAAGCCAAATTTCGCACATCACTGCCCAGGAACACACATGTATGAACAAGTGCAGGATTATCAAGTGAACTGTACCAATGTATCAGCATTCACCAAAACATCAATGAGTATAGAGAGTCTGTTGCTGGCCAAACTTCCCAGACCCAGCACGGAGCTATCTGAGGTGGGTATCGAACGAGCAGGTTAATGTCTCCTCAAGCTATCCTGGCAAACCACACACGCCCATAGAGGACTGAGAGTGCCAGTATGAAGATGGAATCTTCAATGCAGGAGGATAAGAGCTGCACTACATGTACTAGTCAAGCTGCTGCACATCTATAACAAGACCACACAAGAGAGAGCTATGCTGGCTTCTACTCCACACAACTACAGTACTGCATATCAGGGTCACAGAATAAAAGCATACATCAAAGCCTAATACTGCTTCCACCTGTGGCAGCTGCATGGCTGTACGGTGTACCATAACAAAACTCATTGACTAACATATTTCGTGAAAATATTATCCTGTAAAAGAATAAAAATGTAAACAACATACCTGTGAAAACACAACCTTTAATGCTTCTAACACAACCTGTGACTACAATAATCATGAAATCAACCCCAAAACATTTCTTGCAGTTTACTTTCGTAGAGTTTGCGACTTTGTGTTCCTCAACACAACTTGCAGCTTCCTTCAAAATACCCTCAACCTTGGTTCTGTCCTAGATCGTATATACATGCACTCATTGTTTCGTCTCATCATCATGGAGCAGCTTATGCGAAGGCTAGCCAAGCTTGCTTGGCGATGCCAACGCGGAAAAGCCTATAATAATAATAATATCAGGGTCACACCATGTCGGCAATGTGTGACAAAAGACGTGAAACCACTCCATACCAACTAAATAAAGCAGGGCATGATGCAACCAGCCAGGAACTCACCAGCACGAGGGGGGGGGGGGGGGGGGGCACGCAGATTCTTTGCCTTTTCCCCACCAAGGTAACCCAGCAGGGTCTTACAAATAACATAATATGCAACTAGAACATGGTCATAGACTGAAAAGTCAGGTAGAATGAGCATGATCCATGGTGTAACACACTAATAATCGAAACCAGCAGTCCAGTAAAGTTGGTCCAATCCTATACCGTAGAATCCCGCGGATAAGCCCATGGGCTTATCTGTTTCACAAGGACATTTCGGTGGGCTTATACGAGAACATGGGCTTATACGCCGACACCAAGTTGTGCTATTGAAAAGTATCAAGGAAGTGAGAAATACATGCTAAAATCCACTGTGCAAACAAAAACAACCGATGATTGTGCTGAAATGTACTAAAAAAATTATTAATGTGCCTGTACTACGTACATGGTATGGCCAAGAGTCCATAATTTATGGACTCTCGGTGTGACCTAGGCCCATGGGCTTGTACGATGAAGCTGTGTGATGTTCGAACAAACCCTGGGCTTATGCGCGGGCATGGGCTTATCCGCGGGATTCTACGGTACTGAAGTTGACAGCACTAAGAGAAGCTTGAGTGAACTCACCCTGAACGAGAACTGTATCACCACTGGGTTCCAAAGCTTCGCAGGCTTGATGTGCCACTCCAAAAGCTGAAAAGAGGAAAAAGACAAAAAGCATGAGTGTTGCAAGGCACTCAACCCAGCGAGAAAGTTCTGCTCAAGCACACTACGCGTAGACTCCATTCCAGATAAGCTGCAGGCCTCTCTGCAATACAGGACACAGTACCACTTACGCTCTAGCAGACATGCAATGTCGTTGTCCAGGCTGGTTTTCAGTAAGTACGCATAGCGAGCCGGAATGATACTATATTGAGAGCAACCTTCCAACACAAAACAAAAACAAAAAAAGCTTACTTAGATACTAACAAAGAAATCCAGCAGTTCATTCATAAGATGGTGATCTTCACGCACTGACACAGAAATACGAGATGAAGACTACAGGGACAAAGAGTGCAGGCTCTGCACACACACAAGCTGTCCAGTGGCAGTAGAGCTACTGGCATGCAGTCTGTGTGCCACCCGCGTGGACAATGGTGTGTATTTTTCCTGTGCAATGTGAACAGAAGCCCTTGCCTTGGTGGCTGACAGCTGCTTTGATTGTTAACACCCAAAGCAGCTCCTTGCAAGTCAATGGCACAAGGAAGAAAGATCTACAGCATAACACCATGAGTATGCACAAGGGTTTGGTTGTAACCCAGCACCTTGTGTGTAACACAAATCCCACAGCATTAGGAGGTGCAGGATTGACCAACTTGATATACTGATCTAGTGTGTACGAATGGGACATTCTACTTGAAGAAATATTTCTCGTTTACCGGGGTTGCTGGCTTATTACAATACTGGATGGGGGAGGGAGGAGGAGACGCCATTTTGATACACAAGCTACCCGAAAGGTAACTTCCCAATGCTGCAAAACACCAGCAAACTAATATAATTACTTCTCGGATGGATGGGGTGTGTGATCACTTACCTCCATGGACGGTGCCTTTGCCATGTCCATACTGGCTGAGGTTCTGGCAAATGTGACGCTGGTCTGGAGGACAAACAAGAAATGCCACGAGTAAGACAGCTGTCGACTATTCACAAGGAAACTAGGCTCATCGTGAGCACCAACAGGGCATATATAGAGGTGCAATCAGTGCCAACAGTGGATTAACAAACAGGTATCAAATAATCCATGTTACTGTGATGCAGACTAGTTGCTCTTGTTGTCATTGTTAACTAGGGGATCTGGGTGCCCAACAAGATAGAAATAAAACTAATGGCCGGCAGCTTTAGGGTCCATCCGCAAATACCGATACCTAAGAAACGAAAACCAGTCACTTTCTCTTCTCTTCTTCGTTTCTAAATAAATATCTATATTTACGACTGTCCCTTACCGTGTGTGCACTGATAACAGTGTCCACAATAGTAATGATTCTCGCAGCATACGCGCTTGCCGACTTCAAACTCCGCTCCCACGTCCGACCCGACTGAAACAATCTGCACGCGGACAGTGTGCAAGCAAACAGCAGCAGCAATACGAATTCGTGGTGAAATCACGCTCAGACGCCATACTGAAATTCTCGAAAGACAGTTGCACGAAAACGGGACACTAAAAAAAAGAAGCACACAAATCCGTTCTAGACGACCACACAGGTATTTTCCAGTTACACCAAGAGTAGATAAGCCAGAGTGTGCAGCTCCGGGTGAAGTTTCTTGTTTTTAACTCGCACCAGTTCATGTGGTCATGCTACCGTACGACCTAGGTTATTTCTGCTGCGCATTGCTGCTAGTCGTGCAAACGATGAACATTGCTCTATTATCACTGGCCCGTACACAGAAGTGAAAATTCTCGTATGTGCCCCCGTTAGTCTTCATTGGCAAGAGGCGAGCTACTTTCCTACATGGAGATTCACGGGAAAATACTGCTGGACGCAATAGCGATCTCCATGTTTTGGAAAAAAAAGGTGCTGTGTCCTCCTACAAACTTCAGCCAGCACCACCTAAAGTAGCGGCACAGTGCCGGGCGCTGCTGTTTCCACGGATTGGGATTTTATAGTCTTCGTACACAAGTGCGACGTTGATTGCACGTGATTTTCATGGTGCTGAGTCAACCAAATCGCGGTCTTTCTTCAGAACGGAGACTCACCTCTGCAACACATTCGTGACCAGGAGTGAACGGAAGTGAAGCAATGACGCGTGCACCTGCAAAAAGGTACGCAGCACATGCAAGGCAACATTATGTTAGTGTTGCACCAAAACATTTCCTGACCACAATACTAATAATAACCAGTCTTCCATTTCGCTTTCATAATAATAATTACGCAATCAAGTAGTGATTCAGTGTATCATAATAAGAAAAGGATACTGCGTAACAATCAAGAGGGGAATGCATAGATCGCACATGCTGCAAGCGATTTTGAAGTCCCTTTTGAAGAAAAATTGCAGACTGGAGATAGTGATACAATGCATCAAAAAAATTATAATAATTATTGCCACGTGTGGAAACATGAGAAAACTACGCGCACGCACGCAGGGTTGACTGCACTTACCCTCCGTCCAATTATACAGCATAATGTCGGATCCGCAAATAGAGGCACGGAGCACCTTGACCAGCAACTCTCCGGACTCCGGTTTGGGAACAGGCAGCGTGGTCAGATCGTAGGACTTTGTGGGGTTGCTTTTCAGCAGACCGGTCATGGAGTCGGGCACGGCAGCCATTGTTGTTCGGTTTAATACTAGTATATTATTCACAAGAGCAGACAGCGAATGTGAAGATGAAAATACAACTAACTACCCAGGGTCGAAGGGTAGAAAGCTGGGCTTGACAGCTGCAGAAAGGATCGACGCCTTTTGCAAAAAGCACTCCATCGTCAGGACTGACCGGCCGAGGCACCAAACCAACCACGCACGGCACTGCAAAAGCAAAGACTGGGAATGGCATCCCTCTGCAAATCGAAGGTCTTTTATACAGGTTTCATGGCCATTCGCTGGATTCAACCAACTGCTTTGAAAAGATCGTGTTTTACTAGATTTTGAGAAGGAAATCCTACTTCAGCAGTCTAAAATCGCACACATCCAACTCGTATGACGTCACATTTCGGGAAGCTTTCATCTAAAAAGCGTTTCACAAAACTGCACAGCTTGCATGATGTAGTGCCCGTACATCTGGTACATGGCCCGTATGCACTGACTGTCTGAACTCTGCAGCCTATAAATAGTTGTACTTGTAGGCTGCAGCCTGCAGGACGTCGACGATGTTGTTTGAGCTGTGAAGTCAAGAGTGAAGTGAAGAAGAGGCCTTTCCAACACATACTGTAGGCTGCAGAATTTATCTCTCACTGGCTTCTTAGTCATTGAAAGGCAGCTACCATTGCACTTTAGTGTTAACATTCTTCTCATCATAGCAACGATTGGCTAAATTTGCTTCGCTTTTGGAGCTGGACTCCGAGCCTCCTCCAACATGTCTTTGAAAAATCTCGTTGCTCAGCGTAAGCGAATCCTGATTTCTCATGTTTGTCACCGATGTGGAGAGCTGTGAAGGTTTGTAACGGCATGTATAATATGTGCCCTGCTTGCAGGCATCCAGACTGATGTGATTGACGCTGTGACTAAGAAAGGGCAATGGGCGGTAGGTTTGGCGTTGCACCTCTGTGCCTTGTGGTTGCTGATGTGATGTTGTTGCTGAGTATTTCAATGACCAAAAATGTCCCGTTTTCTCTTTGTAACCTAACACAGTAACAGTACGATCCGAAGCGGCTTGACGTACATGTACATGCATATTCATGACCCCATTGTGACTCCAACGTAGTTTGTTCCTTGTGGCCTCACTCGACTGCCAACAAAATTTAATTGTGAACACTAATTCCCATTGGACTTCAGAAGTTGACATGTGAACATGTTCAACAACAGGCTGTAATTATATACAAAATAGTGATGCAATGTCACATGCAATGTCACATTGATGTGCTGACCAGGATTGCGTTTTTGAGTAATGTAAGCTGCGTGCTTGACATGTGTACCATACAAGGCACGTCCAGCTAATGCAAGCAGGAGAGTGTACAGTCATACACTTTCTATCTTTTTTTTTCCTTTTTTCGTCCTTGTTGAGTAATTGAGCATTGAAGTGGTGTGATTGAAAACCCGAATTCCTCCGGTACACATTGCAAAGCTGCTGTCCGCCGCCATTGCCATAAGTGTACACACTCATCACCATTCGCCCGTCAGAATGTACCGTTGTGTTAACAAAATTTAATATCTGACGTCCCAAGCCCAAGAACGTCCAGCCTGAAAAGCTAAGAATGCCACAGCCTATAAATTTAAGGTCCGGCAATGCTGGTTTTCTGGCAGAATTCGGGATACAGTCAACTTTGCGTATAACGACGCTCGGCGGGGCGGCAGAAATGTGTCCTTTTTCGTGAAGTGTCGTTATACCCGAAGTCTATATATTACAGTACATGGGACTTTGCTCTGGGCATGGGAATTCTGTTGTTATTCGCGAATTGTCGTCATATCCGCAGTCGTTATTAGCGAAGTTAACTACATATGGTCCAGTACGAATTGTTTCTAAGAATGCGATAAGAACGCACCAGATTGCTGAAAAATAAGAACGTCCCACTCGAAACAACGTTCTTGGGCGCGCAGCTCTACTGCACCTGACAGTATTGGCTTATGATTCATTAGGTGAGATCCTTGGTCATGACCTTGACCTTGCATATGAGATATGACTGTGTGCTTTCCTTGTTATGTCTCTCTCTCTCTCTCTCTCTCTCTCTCTCTCTCTCTCTCTCTCTCTCTCTCTCTCTCTCTCTCTCTCTCTCTCTCTCTCTCTCTCTCTCTCTCTCTCTCTCTCTCTCGTGTGGCTGCTAGGTGTTGGTTGTGGACCACCTCAGTATGCGTGTGATCTCAGCATGCTGCAAGATGCACGAGATCTTGTCGCGTGGCATAACACGTGAGTGCATCCACGGTGCTGTCTGTGTCTTTATGTCTCTGTGTGTATGCACTTTGATCAGCTGTGCGGTGTAGACCTGGCTAGCATTAGTGGTGGTCAATTCATCAGCACTGCAAGCTGTTGCCTGGTGTAATCCCAGCACAAGTTGCTATGTCTAACATGGCTTGTTCGCTATCATCGCTTCAACGATGGGCATGTGGAAGTGGAAGTGTATGCATGTGTGCCACGTTTTCCCCTTTATTGCTGAAAATAGGTTTTGGTGAAAGTCTGCTTGTGTGCTAAACCAAACTAGTGAAATGCGCATGTGTGCTAAAAAAAAACCCCTCTAATAATCGTAATACACTGTATGCAAATATCTACTGGAAGCCTCTTGTACGGGCAAAGCAAAATGTGCTTACATCATATTATGGCACAAATATGCAAATATCTTGCTGTAGCTGTAGCTGTAGCAACCTCATTTGCTACTCAGATTCACTATTAATAATCATAATACACTGTATTCAGTACTCTGTCAGTGTTGTGCCTAGTGGTTGCACTTTCTGACTGTATATAGTATCTAGCTACAGTGGTGGAGAGTTACTCTTAACTCGTTTCCATATGTCCTTTTTCTTTTTACACTGTATTATGTAGCTGTAGCAACCTCATTTGCTACTCAGATTCACTCTTCAAGACTCACTGAGCCTAGTCTCTTCATTGTTCTCTTCTTTATTCTACTCTCTATAAGCTTCTCTTTCTGATCAGTCAATCAGTGGCGTATCATATTGGGAAGAAAAGTAGTGTGTGTGTGTGGGGGGGGGGGGGGGGGGGGGATGCAGACAGACAGACACACATACAGAGAGAGAGAGAGAGAGACAGACAGACAGATAATTATAATGACAGAGACAGACAGAGAGAGAGAGAGAGATGCAGCTTACCAGAGACTCCACAGTTGGAGGGATGCAGTGCGTGTGTGTGGTGGTAGGTGGGGGGTAGTAATGGTATTGTTACCATTTTCTTGCTCATGTACATGCCTGGCACACAGTGATTGGCGCTTCCTTTATTCTGCCCAGCATCAATCCTAGGGCCTTGGTGCATGTGTCATATGGGTTGGTATGTGATTTGAGTTTGTCTTTTTTGTGCTCGCAGTGGTGGAGTCTATTGAAAAATCACGCGAGCCGCTTCCTCACCTCGATGCCATCTATTTCATCTCGCCAACAGAAGCTGTAGGTTGAATGGCATTGTGTGAAACTCCTAGTCGTACCAAGTGTTGGCTTGCAGGCTTTTTAGTTTGTGGAAATCCACGAGCCCTTCATTCATTCTCTCTCTCTCTCTCTCTCTCTCTCTCTCTCTCTCTCTCTTTGTATCTATCCCTATCTCTATCCTTATTTCTATCCCTATCTCTTGATTCCTCTCTCCATGCAACACACACATGTCATTGCTAATATTCATTATCGTGTGTATTCTATTCTGTACAGTCTGTTACATCGATTGTCCGGGACTTTGTGAACGACCGATCAGAGCCACTATATCGCTCCGCTCACATCTTCTTCACAGAACGTAAGCTTTGTCTCATTGCATGCCGTATCACATGTTTACTATTCCATCCTGTGTGGATCTAGTGGTTGTATAATTGTCACTGCCAAGATAAGTCTCTGTCCTGCTATCAGGTGGGGATTTCCCCTTTCCTTCACTACCGCTTGTCGCACTGTGTGATCAGTCGTGCTAATTTGGTGTTGACGATTTGTTGTGTGTGTTATGTGTGTGGGTGGGTGTGCGTGCGTGTGTGGGTGTGGGTGTGTGCGCGTGTGTACACGCTTGTGTACATGTTCATTTGTGTATACATGTGTACGTGCTTGTATGTATGCAGCATGCTCAGACGCCCTGTTCCAGAAGCTCGCCGTACCAAGCATTGCCCGAGGTCAGTAGAACATGTTGTGGCAGCCATGGGCACACACATCTCAGTCATTGTTTTTCTGCCATGTCTGTCCGGAGTTAGTTCCCTGGCATAATTACCGACCTGTGTGTCAAATGGGGAATCCATGCGGTCATCAACCAGAAATTATTAGTTTAGTTTCTTAGCTTCTCTTCATCTTGATCATCTTGATTTGCTATTTTCAGTTTGCGCATGTGCCGTTAGAATGGTAAATGAGTAAAATTGAAATTTTCATTCTCCTTTTGCACTTCTGTGACTACAGTCATTCGTACGATGAAGGAAGTGAATATCGCCTTCATGCCGGCGGAAAGCAGGGTAAGTGAGAGAGAGGTAGCTTTGCCACCGCTTGCTGTATCTCACTGTGCCACAATTCTGCGTAGCCGCCTCCTTGCAACTACCTGCTGGTGCCTCTATTTCTTGCAGCTGTCGGTGTCAAATTTGTTACAATGTCACTTTTTTTGATGCACTATTCGCGTTCCTTGTAAAATCATTGCACCATTTTGGCGCATATTCTTGCACGTACATTAACCTTGCTCTCCCTCATCTCACAGCATTTTCTCGAGAAGACATGGATTTATTGCAACGTCGATTATATCAGTATCCGTGAGAGTCAAGTCTCGCTTCTGGTATTTGGCTAGGCTATACTAAACTAGTACATGTATTCCGTTGCATTATTAGACACGGACAGAGGCAGCAGTCGGTCAGCCCTGTTTTTGCAACCTCGTGTGCTATGATGTGTTTTTGGTTTTCCGTTCCTTTGGTCCAACAGGTGTTCAGTCTGGACGCACCCGATGCGTTCCAGCACTTCTTCAGTCCTTCGTCATCACGTGCCCGTTCAGTCAGCTTAGATGTAAGTGGTACAGGTACATACGCCCGAATTACTTTTGAACATTTACTGCACCTAAATTTAGTACTACAGTCGAACCTCGTTAGGACGAACTTCAAGGGACTGAACACGTTTGTTTGCCTTATCCAGATCTGGCCAAAACATTGATTTACATATCATATGGGTTGTTTTTCTGTGAAATTGCATGCTGTGGCACATGTAAAGCATTTCTTCATAGCATAAGCTAGCAACAGGTACTAATTCAAGTACTTGAAGTACAATGTGCAATGAATTCATGACGGCATGACCTCCGATCCGCCTTGTAACATGCTGTCAATTCGTTTTTCCCGTACAAGAGGCCTTGACAATCGGAAAAAAATATACAGCCAGCACACACAAGGGGACCGAAAGTTCGTGCTGCGCGTTGATTTTGTTGAAATCACGCTTGAGAATAATTCGTCTTCGCGAAAGTTCACCGTACAGGAGTTCGTCGTAAACGAATAATTTTGACTTGATTTAATTCCTGACCAACCATAGGATTGGCCCTAGTTCGTACTAATGGAAAGTTCGCCTTATCAGTGTTCGTCCTAAAGAGATTTGACTGTATGTTGACTTTTTGGGTGCAATAAAAGGTCAGCAGCTCTCAATAAAAGGGTTTGAGTAAGTCACAGTGCCTGTTTTGATGTTCTCTGTACTTCTTCTTTGCCGTTCTCCTGCTGTATGTGCGTGTGTGTGTGTGTGTGTTTGTCATTGTGTTTGTCTCTCTGCAGCGTTTAGCTGAACAAATTTCAACAGTCTGCTTCACCCTGAATGAGTTCCCTGCCGTGCGCTATCGATCGTGAGTTGTCTTGCTCTCTTGTTCTTGTCCTCTGCATTTCAGAATCTTGTGGTGAATGCCATTGTTGAAATAGTTGCGATGTTCAGCCAGCAATGCGCACTCCTGTCTACAACTGTGCTTTCAGTCATCCGGGTCGCTGGCATTTTGGTGACACTAAACTGAGTAAACTCGTATGGTTCTAACTTCTAAGGGAAGGCTCTGTGTGTGTGTGTGTGCATGCGCGCCTTTTTTTGTCGGTGCAGTGAGTCAGATCGCACCAAGGAGCTAGCAGACAAAGTACAGGAGTCGCTGGACAAGTATAAGCGCGATGTCGACTCAAACCTCGGCCAGGTGAGCAGCTTAACATTGGATGGTATTCTACATGTGATTGGTCAAAATTCTTTGTCTTTATATTTTTAGTATTAAGAATAAGAATGGACTCGGGTGGGGAGCCAAGGATATTATTCTTTTCTATAAATTAAAATACTTCGAAGTAAGAATAGGAAGAACAGTTCGCATGTAGCCCATGAGTGAGATCACCCATGGGGCTAACGCACCTGTCGGTAGTAGAGAAATAAACACGAGAAATATATGTACACATTCTCTCTATTTTTACATTGCAGGGAAAAGCTACCTATTGTTTATTGTTTTGTCTTAGTCATTCTCGATGTTGTTGATCCGTCTGGTTACGGGTCGTCCTCTGGGCTTCTTGATGTTTTTGGTGTCGATAGAAAGTCTGAGAGCTTGTGTAGAATGTTGAGTCAATGCCTTCTCTGATCACAGGGCCAAACCATAACCAGCACCTTTCCCCCCTACATGTTGTGGTGATCGGTACTTGGTTGGACAGTTTGTACACGTTTTTTATTCGATATTTTTTGGGGGATACACTACGCCAAGAATGGATTGTAGTTGCGGCGATGTCACGTGGCAAGCCTGTTGCCGAGTGCCGCTGTCAACGTCCACAGACCACAGTCGTATAATAGAACCGGAAGGATAAGTCTTCTTTATAGCCGTATACAAAGACTTTTACTGCTACTTCAGTATTCTATGTGTATAGTGCGGATGGATGGCAGGGATGAATTTACTGTCATATTTTTGCATAGCAGTTTCTGCTATACGAAATCACAATTGTGTAGCAGTCTTTGATTTTTATTAGCATTTTTTCTTTGAAGGTAGGGTATTTACCACATTGTCCTTCTTGAGAGTGATGCCGAAAGCCCATTTGCAAAAAACCGACTGAAGAATACATATGCACGCAGATTGAGAGTGTCTGCACCCCATACACCGCACTGTATGCATGTTACATGACAGCACAGGCTAGGCATGGATAGTGTGTATGCATCGCAATTTTCTGCGAGTCATGGTGACTTTTGAGTAGCAGTAGATCGATTTTGCATCGCAAACTGCGATGCGATACAGGATAAATTCATCCCTGGATGTACATAGCTTTGCCAAGTTGCAGACAATGACTAGTTGAGACGTAGCTGAGCTACGAGAAAACCGATCCATACCCTTTGCATGTGGCGACATTCATGGATGGCCCGTCACTGATCTTCAAATGTGACCTTGTTTGTTTGTTTGCTTTCTGTTTGTTCAATGACAATGTGTTTGTGTCTCTGTCTCACCACAACCCATACATTGCAGGCACCCGGAAAATCAAAATCTCAGCTTCTTATCTTGGACAGGTGAGAGTAAATCGAGTGTGGGTGCTTCTTCTCGACAGAATACGTTACTGCAGATCTGATAGGTTATTTGTAGGTACTCCTGAGCTTCAGAAGACTGCAGGGTGAAGTGCTTCCTTCTTCTGAGCTTCATGCGCTTCATATCTACTCGTAAATGCCAAAGAATTATCATTTGTGGTGCATTCTTCAACTCCTGATGCAGGTGATGCATCGGTTACTTTTGTATATTCTTCGTCTGGCAAAAATCATCATCATACATGAACAGGTTGTGTTGGGATGCGCACATGTATGTGTGACTGTGTGTGTGTGTGTGTGTGTGTGTGCGTGTGTGTGTGTATGTTCTTGCAGAGGGTTTGACCCAGTATCCCCGGTGTTACACGAGCTGACGTTCCAGGTAATTTGCCTGTCAATATGGGGAATGAGCGTTTGTTGCTGCCAGGTGTTCACGCGTGTGCTGGATGAACTGTCTGTTATGCATGGCGGTACTTCAGTACTGTTGTCCCTATTCACATGTGGGTGGTGAGAGCAACATTGCTACAACAAACATTCACAGCTTCGCATGCATTGAGTGATGTGAGATTAGTATATGAGAAAGAACTTTTCGGAAAAGTAAGACAAATAACTAGCTCATGTAGCGAGGAGGTCACTAACTGGAAAGGCTGATAAAACCTTTTGCAGTTTAGCTGACATCACTTTGGCTCTAGTTGGTGTTGCTTTGTCACTGCAGGTTCACATGCACCCCCTAAAAATCTCCACCTAGATTCAGCATGCACATAATGACCCTGAATGACATGCACCGGCCATCATACACATATGCGGTCGTGTATTGCCCACCCCAAACGGGGACCAGCTACATGTACGCCCCTGACTAACTAGTGTTCTTCTTCTGTGCCTTGTGCATGTGTTATCTTAGGCAATGACGTATGACCTTCTCAAGATCGAGAATGATGTTTTCCGGTGAGTTAGCTGATTGCGCTGCGTTGAGGCTGTTGGGTGCAGCCTGTGAGCAGGCATTGCCTCGCAAGCTGCTGGGCATGCAGCCAGATGTTCAGTTGTGTAGCTGAGCCAGTGGGACCAAGATAAATTGCAAAAACAAGCTGTGTTATATAAAGAGAAAAGGACCTATAAGTTGCTAGTTATGACTAACAGTCCACCAAGGTAACGAGATATTATACAGTCAGGTATTGTCCGTTTCTCTTTACATATTACTATTGGCTCAATTTTTATCATAGCCTAGGAGCCGTGGCATCATTCATAATCCACAGCAAGAAGGCAGCAATGCCTGTGCCTATGGTGAAGTACACTAAAAATACCATACCATAACATCCGAGTTTTTACAAACTGTATTTTCCGGCATTGGCTCCGGTCTTTTATTAATGCCTGCATGAAGTATGCACCACCTCATTTCGGGGCTTTTGTGTAGATTTTTCAAATAAATTGGGTTGAGTTTAGGGCTCGCAAACTACTACACCCCTTGGCCAGTAAAGTAACGTCGCAAATTCGGTAGTAAGCGTCATTTGGAGTACATTGCCTATCAACATACTTTGCAGTTGGCTACAGTCCATTTCAAAACTATAGACGCGTACCTAGGCAAAAACCGTTATGCCAGCATCTATACCACATAAAATCTGTGATCACTTTGTGCATAAATTTTTCAAAATTGGGCGTCTGTTATCCAATCGTTTAGAAACTATATGAGAGTAATTGTGGAGCGATCCTGAGCAATATTCCGAAAACTATTCTCAAAAAGTTCCAGCCAAATTTGAAATATTTCAAAAACCCTACGCGTCTATAGTTTTGAAATGGACTGTAACTCATTGCTCGACATAGTCAAGGTAAGATACAGCTAGTTTTACCAGTGATCTTGTTTGTGTGTGTGTGTGTGCTTGTGTGTTTGTCTGGTCAGGTATGCGTTCACTGGTGGTAGTGGACAGACGGGAGAGCGAGAGTGTTTGCTGGACGGTAAGCTCTTTATCCAATAGTGTTCACTGTCCTTCAACCTTATTGTAAGGTCAAGTTGTATTGGGAACCGGAATTCACCATCCCCACCCGCTAGCCTTTTTTTAAATATCAGAAGCGTCGTCACCCTGTGCGTGTGTACATGCGTAAGAACATGCGTACGTATGGGTAGACACGCGTGCGTTGAATGCTGTTGCACACGGCTTCCGTACTTGACTCTCTTGCACTACGCTCCTGTCGATCTGTCTGCTGAGTGCAGTCTGCCTGTTGCCGGTGACTGATGTGGTGTTTCATGACTGGAACATGGGATGTGTGACTTTTCCGTCAAATAGTTATCCATAAGTGCTACAGACATCCATGGACTTAGGGGTCATCGCAATAGTTGTCGTCCCTGAAATGAACGTCGTTCATACTGGACGACCGAAACCGCATGCACGTACATGTACAGTGTCGGTCTACTTGTGATTTTGCCCCCCCCCCCCCCCCCCCCCAACGAACAATGTTCGTTTCAGAGACGACAAATAACTTTTGCGACGACCCCTAACTCTTGCCTCGTGTTCTCTGACCGTGTGTTGCTGCAGATAATGATGACCTGTGGGTGGAGCTGCGCCATCTGCATATTGCTGAAGTGTCACAGTGAGTAGTCGATTAGTTATCAGTCTCTCTCTCTCTCTCTCTCTCTCTCTCTCTCTCTCTCTCTCTCTCTCTCTCTCTCTCTCTCTCTCTCTCTCTCTCTCTCTCTCCAGTGGAGCACCAAGCCTTTAAAATGGAATGCTTCATAACGGTAGTTGTATCTGGCCTGTGACTGCTCTATTTTTGTTGTTGTCCTTGAATCATTTTCCTGTTGTGTACGGTTGTTTTGTTCATGTTTATGGGCACTGACAATTGCCATGTATTGTGTCTTTGTTCTTTGTTTTGCTGTGGATCTTCAGGAAAGTATCGTCCATGCTGAGATCATTCGTTGAATCCAAGAAAGAGACAAAGGGCAAGTCGGTAAGTCGTGCAGCAGTTGATGACTGTGTTCTCTTCTCTGTAGTCCATCGTGTAGAGTCTCTGATCTCCTTCCCTGCAGCCAGCTTGTTGGTCGTGGGTAGTCTTTTGTCGGT